CCCTTATCTGAAGGTCTGGATCGGCCACTGTTATCTGTCTTATGTTGCTGTTTCTAGGCCATGTCGCTTGTCAAAATTTTACCCTAACATGGCCTCATTATATACAGTATTTTTTGCCCATAATATTATTATTGTTATGATTAAAATTCCTACTCAGCAAGTTTACAGGGTCATGGTCATATTAGCAAGCTCTACAGAGCTTTTCATGTTGTTCAGTCAGATGACTTGTTCACATAACACCTTTGCACTGTCCCCATGTTCTGAACGCCTGGAACATGCTAACATAACACAATCACACTGTCTTAGCCTTTCAGTCAAGAATAAATCAATCTGGTCGACATTCCTGTAATAAATCCACGATTACCGACATTCCACTTGTTACAGACATCTGTCAAAGGTCTACCAGCTATGAACACTTTGGTTTAAGCTTCAAGTCAGTAGCAGAAAGCTGATGTAATAACTCAGCTATAGTATCAGCAGCCTCTGTTGAAGCAGGTTCTATGTCTTTATCAGTGATGCAGCATTCAAATGCACCAAATGTATCACATGATTTTGGATCCAACAGGTGAATAAATGGCGATAAAAACATTGTCCACAAAGCATTTTCTTTTTCAGGGGAAGATGATGGCATCACCTATGAAAAAGAATAGTTCAAGATTGCAAACTAGAAATAACCAAAGTTAAGTGAATGCAGGCGAGATTAATGCAAAAGCTCTTGTTCCAATGCTGTGCTTTGAATAAGTTTCACGTAATATACCGGTAGTGAATAAAATCACACTTGATCAAATTAGAATGGCAGAAGCTCCAAATGCATGTGATCATGATTAGATGGCATGCCACGTATTTCATTCTTTCCTCCTTAGTCAAAGTCCAAACAAATGCTACATAGTTACATGCTGGCCAAATAGCAACCTTGAGATTAGAAATGCGAGCTCCTCTTCGGGTCCGCCTGAAATCATTTTGACGTCAAAATGTTTAAAAATCTGTATCACGCTTGTGACTCTTAGACTGGACCAAGAGCACAAGCATAGGTAGGTGCATGAGTTGAGTTGGTAATAATTAAGGTTGCCATGTAGATGTAGCAGTGATATCCAAATAACCCCTTTTTAAAGGGCCAAAGCTAAGGATTCAAGAATTTCAAAAATATGTTGATTTAAAAAATGGGGATGAGTCGTGGAGAAGACTTACCTTATGAAGCCGGTGACAGTGGATTAGGCCATCAGTTCCAACTTCAAACACAGAAAAGCCATCCAAATACCTAGAAAAAACCAGAGATATAGTCACTTTCAAAAGAATGTACAGCAGCAAAAAATAAAATAGATAAATAAAACATACACTTCAAATTAGTGATATTTACGACAACCAAGCAATTCTGGGATAGAGCATTAATTAACTAAAGCCAGTCTAAAACACACTCAAAGTTTTTCACATCAAGCTAGTGTCTGGGTAATTTCTTTTTTTTGATAATGATTCGATAATGGTTCCATTTAATGATGGAAATCTTTTAGCAAATCAAATCAAAATTTACCTATAACCCTCACTGCTGGCCTTTAATCTCCTGCCAATAAATGGAACAGCTTTTCTTAACAGTGGAATTCCTTTGATTCTCCAACGTACTTTGATTGTTCCTTCATTGGGATGTTTTGTAATTTTTAACACTTCCATGGACAGCTCTGTCATGCAGCTTAAGATCATCAACCTCAGGCCACTTATCTGAGCTCTGTATGGATAAATTCCACTAATGCAAAAAGGAAAAAGTATACAGAAAATGGAATTAATATCAAAACAAACATCGCCTTCACCTAAACTAATGAGTGAATTTACTGCTGGAGGACTTTTAGATGTTTCAGTGAATGACTGCTTTTTTTCTACAAAAATGTACATGAAACTCTGCAGTAAAGATAGTTGCTTCCCAATCATTAGCTGTTTATGTTTGATGAAGCCCTGAATTCATAATATAATTTGGGCCCAATAAATCAACTAAATCAACTTAGTATTAACCAAATATTATGTATCGATCATTAGCATCCAAAAAATCTATTAAGTACACCAAATCTATTAATTACACTAATTAACCAAGCTCATAGCCTGAATCAGTCAATACTGCCAGTACTTCCTTTTATTAACGATAATTATAATCGAATAAAAAGTTAGTTTAGAGCTGCATGTTGCATACAAATAACACTTGCATTACAGTGTACATTAAGTGTTCCAATTAAGCACAATGACAAACCCAAATTTCGCTTCTGATACACAAATTACAATCATAACACAAAAACAGTTGTGAGGATACTTACTGTGTTGTGGTTCCCATTATGTTGTTGACAAATTTCACTCTTTGATGATAAATACTATAATTCGGCTTTTTCAGAAAAAATTCTGGTATCTATCAAAAACAATAATAAAATAAAAATAATAAGCACTGATAAACTTTCTGCTCTGGTTGGGGTCACCAGCTTAACATGGAGTCTTGTGCTTCTGGTAGGGCCACCCCAGAGGTCAAAGGGTAGAGACCAGACAAAGAGAGACCCCTCAGGTCCTCCAGGTTGGAGGTTTGGCATAGTAATAACCATGCCCCATAAAAAAAAAGTAATAGTTACAGTAACCAGAAGCACTGATAATGAGACAACACTAACTGGAACAGAGAGCGAGTGTTGGTCAGACAACACAACAGCCTTACGCAGCTACTAGGAAAACAAGAAATGATGATGATGAGGATGATTTCGTGAACTTCACAGTTACCTAAAATTGGACCAATACCGAGGGAAGGAAAGATGGCCCCATTTAGCCATCAAGTTTCAGTAACAGAGAGCTTCAACTTTTCCGGTTTGTCAGGTGTATTTCCTTTTATTTGCAGTCCAGTCCGGCATAAAAAAGTTTAACTTCTTAGCCCCCTTCCAACTCCTTACTTAAAACTACTGCAATGTGATGAATGTTACATACAGCACCCATGTCAACATGCTTCAAAATTAAGACCAAGTACCACCTCCCCTAATTCTTGGGTATTTTGAATAGTCCAGCTACCAGGCACAAGGGAGTATCTGATTGGCTGAGATGAGAAAACATATCAATAATTGTTAGTTAATATTAGATGTTAGTAGATATATCTCTGGTCTCTCCAAAGAGAATGGTGTGTTCATGTAGAAATGAAATGAAGTTGAGCAAATGTACTAGGCACTAACTGCACCAACATTTGCAGGACGTTGATTTCTCCCATTTTGCCTGTAAATTACCCACACTTTTGTATTACACCCCTTTCCCTGATAAGCTAATCTAATAGTTCCAACAAAGGTGAAAAAAGTGAGCAGCATTTCATAAGAATTGCAGGCTGGCTTTGCTCCGCCACCAAGAAAGGACTATGGATATATGACAATCCCGCCAGCTACAGATGCCAAATCTATCATTTTGGAAACTTCTATGATAGGGACACCTCTTTATTACAGACAGTTCTCTTGGTCCTAAAGTTGCCAACTTTATACGATCCCTACATTTATAATATTGTCAGATCTGTAATGCAAACACCAGGCTGTGTCCCTTAGGTGCTATATTAATGAGGTTTCCCTATATATATTGCTATACATGTACCTCGTCCCTGAGATCAAGTAACACAGAGGATAGCTGGGTAGGATCTGGTCCAGTCTTCAGCACTTTTTTCTTGCTTGGGTTTTTTGTGTCTTCAGAAATATCTGCAAATAACTTTGCGGCCTCTGAAATAAGGTCTCTTTGCAAACAACCAGAGTGAGAGGTTTGGAAAACCTGTTGGTGGTTTTCTTTAGTTTGATGCAACTGTGACATTTGTTGAGTTGCTACCACAGGTATATCACTGGAGTCTGACACTGTCTGCTTGTTTTCCACATTTTCTACTGACGACTTAGGCAAAGTCTTTTTCTCTTCAGCGGTTGAATTTAGCAGAGTTCCCTTGTGAAGAAAAGAGGCTTTACCAGTGATTTTATCCTGCTCAAAAACCATTAAAACCAACTGCTTGTTGTCCATTAGTGGGTCACAATTCCATTGTTTCAATAAAGAATTGTCTTGTGCCTTTTCATGCAAGTCAAGCGGTCCAATACTTTTCCACAAAGCATTTACCGCTTCAAATGTCTGGCTCTTTTGGAAGACTGCTTTCTTTCTGGAAGCAGGGAAATACAACTGCCCATCCACATCTTTGCTTTTCTTTTCTGAGCTTCCCTTCAGATAACTTCTGTTTTCCTTATGAAGCACAAAAATGCATGGTTTTTGAGCCTACAAAAGATAATGTAACAAAATTTTCAATAGGAGGGAGTGAGTAACTTAATAGAAAAATAAATAGTAATTAATTATTATATTAAAGATGACTATCAACTTTCAAGAAGATCATACAGCAACTCAGCTGAACAACCCAAGATCATCAATAATTAACTAAAAAAAATGCGACAAGACGTGAAAGGTTAAAAATGTTGTTTACAAACATAGGTTTTGTATATATAAATCTGTGATTTCTTTCTTCCCTCACAATTCTCCAGTAACTGGAGTGGCAATATTTCACTGATATTTTTAAGCTTAACTTAATCTTTAGTGATTGCGGAAATGCAGACTGATGTAAAAAAAATTACCACATCTAATTTAAACGAAGCTGCAATCTTTCTACATGAATCACAGAGAACATGCCATCACTATATAAGCCCTTAATTATCTATTTCAAAAGTTGTACATTTCATACATGAGTAAATAAACACAGGGAATACACGACGTACATTGCACGGTTGAATTGCAAGCTGTGAATGCGTGTAGCAAATGACAGTCGATGGTGGATAAATTTTCAAGTATTTGCTGAGGAATCTTGGAGATTTATGAAGATTTGAGACTGTCAGGGCCATTCTGTATCCTAGATCGAAGCAACATAATGCGTAAACCCTACTCCAGATATGTTCTTTCCATGTAACAACATGGCGGTATACCATGTGACTGGACGACGCAATAACAAAAGCCAGCGGGCAAATTTATTCACACATGCGCTTTCGAAGGTTTTGTTAATTCCAATATGGCTGCCGAATCACTGAATGAAGAAATAGAGTATGTAAAATTATATAGGATTAGGCCCATTTTGCTTCATTTTTATTTAGCACCGTTTATACCAATTTACTTAACATGGCTCTACTTTTGGACGGTCGTTTATGGCGTGACAGATTATTTTGAAGCTGGTCTTATCGCCTTAGCCGCTGTGGGTCTTCTTCAAATTCTTTCTTGCTTGTTCTGTCATTGGTCTGTCCACGTGCGATGTTTCTTCACATGTTCAGGGGTAAGGAACAAAAACGAAAAGCTTAGTTCTCCACTAATTTAGGATAGGATGTGACCTGTTAATAACTTTATGGAACCAAAAAAAAAAAACGACTCATCATGATATAATAATTTTAATACAGATATAAGATTTCTAAAATGCAGTGAATTCAGGATTTAGGGCTGCACATATTTTACGAGGATGAATGATAAAATCAGTGAAAGATCCCATTGTTTTTAATATAAACTTAAGACAGACCATTGTAAATTTTTATAATGGTCTGTCTTTATACCCCACCGATACTCTCATTACGTTGCCTTTACTTGTGTAAATGTACTGAACTTTTAAATAAATTATTTTACCAATGTTTAACCAATTTCATTTAAATAAGGATTATTATTTTGAGATAAATGGTAACGAGTTTGATTTTTCTTCAACAATGCATGTTTTAGCAGTTCTTTGGCATGTTTCACATGGGCCTTGAAAAGTCCTTGAATTTTCCACAGAAGTCCATGAATATTTTTGAAAGCTCCTGTACTAAAGATAATCTTTGTTAAAAAAGTGTTTTGTGCAAACGAAAGATTAAAAGCACAACAATATGCACATTTTCTTTGTGATCATGAAAGTGTGTTTTCTTATGATTTCTTTGTCCCTGGCATAGTTCATTTTCTCTTTTTTGAAATACCCTAGGAACTGTGCCTTCCTGATGAAAGGTTTTGCAAAAAGCAAATCCCCACCCACCTCCTAATTTGAAAGATCTTTACTTCATCTCATTCCATGTCAAATTACAGGGAAAAGAAGTCCTTGGAAGAATTATCTTAGTTCTTGAAAAGTCGCTGATTTTCCCCCCCAAATTCTGTATTCAACCATGTTCTGTGATCATCAGTGAATAAAGTAATACATATGTTGCAGTTAATTTTTTTATATCTCAGGTAATTTTTTGTTTCTTTTGTTTTAACTTCATTAGCACATATTACCATACCCAAAAACAAAAGAAAACCAAAAATTACCTGAGAGAAAAAATTAGCTACAGCATATACTTTACATAAAATTTTTGGATGGTTTTAAATGAACTCATTTAGTTCAATCTGCCATAGCATGCCAGCTGTGGAGTGACTTTTTAAACCAGTCAACACTAAAAATATGTTAGTACAGTGAAAGCTCTTGTTAGTGGATACCCTTGGGGTGCAAAAAGGTGTCCACAATTCTAGCTGGCCACTTACAGAAATGCAAAGTTTGCAGAGTTTGTATCGGAGTTGAGAAAAACAGGAAAATGTGAAGGCAGCCGTTGGTAGAGCTGTCCACTTAAGAGAGTGTCTGTTAAGAGAGCTTCCACTGTATTAATCTGCATGGAGAATAGAATATCTGACTGTCACTTAATGCCTTGATAAGACTGGGTCCACCATCATTCCTAATTTATTTCTTTATGATGTTTGGTTATGGAGACATTTAACTGACATAGATACTATGTTTCTCTTCCAAAGGAAACATCTCCAGATCTTGCTACAGTAATAAAAGTTGTTCCAACTGCAAACAATGGATCACCAGAGCTGCTAAAGCTTCACCATGAGCAGGTCAGTGTATTGGTGTTCTCTATTAATTATTTGGATGCCTCAGTAAAGGATGGTTTTCACTAGTAACAGAGTTGGCGTTGGAGTCGTAAGCGGAGTCATAAGCGCAATGGAAGAAGAAGAAGAAGAAGAAGAAGAAGAAGAAGAAGAAGAAGAAGAAGAAGAAGAATCATGATGTTTCCAGATTGTTGGAGTTGGAAGCAGAAGTGGAAGGATAAACCAATCACAGTGCAGGTTCCCATGCTTTGTGATTGGTTTAGATCTTCTGCTCCCGCTTCTGACTCTGACAATCTGGTTTTCACTAGATCATAAGCCAAACATAAGAATCAGAATCCTGTGTTGACTAGATCATAAGCTCCACGCTTCTGATTATGACTCTGACTCTGACTCCGACTCTGTCACTAGTGAAAACCAGTCTTAGTATGGACACTTCTTTTGGTCCCAAAGAAACCATATTTCATACCATTCCTATCTCTAGGATAAAGACTCCTTTGTAATACAGACACATGAGTCAGTCTCTTTGGTGTCCACAGTACATGCTGTAGCCCTTTTAGTCCCAAGAATGACCAACATCAATTTTCTCCTTAAAATATCAGTACATAATTAGTATAAATGGTTATGAGTATTGATAAATGATCATCAACAAATTCTCTCAAATTTTCTTTAAGGAAGTGTTTGAAGATCAATCAGGAGAATTTGTATATTGAAATGAAGTTAGGGCTTAAAGGCTTAAGCAGGCCTGAATGTACGTTTAAACTTTCTTTGTGTTTCATTTTCTTCTATTCACTTGGGCATCAAGTATCACATGTAAACGATTAGAGTAAGAAAGACTAATTTTACTTTAGCTGACCTGCCACAACCATTATAAGTATGAAATATTCAGTGCCAACTTAAGTTCTTCTACATTTTATATTATATCTTTCAGGATAAAGAGACAAAGAAGAATATTATATGGTTTAATTTTCAAAAGACAAAGTATGTTTTTGATAGTGAAGAGAAGAAGCAGTTCTGTCAGGTGGCTTTTCCAATCAATGAAACTATAGAGCATTACAACAGTTGTAGAGGATATCAGGAAGAAGCTGATATTGAAAGAGGAAAAAGAAAATATGGACTGAATGAGTAAGTGCTTTTCTATACTGCATTGTATATATCTTAGATGTCTTTCAGTTCATCTGCAGTGTTTCTGTGTTTTATAACACTGATTTAATCTATTAAATTATCATGAAAAAAGGCATTTTCAGATTGACAAGTGTACATCTCTACTGTGAAAATAATTTGGACTGAATTGTTATGATAGTTATATCAGTTATTCTGATCAGATTTTTACAAACAGGGACTATCAATAAACCCTCTTTAAAAAAAATTATTTGTGATTTACCTAAATGCTTTAAGCCCAACTAAACATACATGTAAACTTGTAATTAAGGACAATTTTTGGCCAGCATGTTTTATCAGTTATCATCTTGGTCAGCAGTATCTTCCCAGCCCACACAGGACCCAAACATAACCAATGCAATACGTTTCCAAAATGTTCCCCCAATTTTTTTTAATCATTTTGATGTGTGAAAAATTATACATCTTTTGTCATGATCATTATTAAATATTCTAGGCTTCAGATGGATGTACCCGAGTTTTGGGAGCTATTCAGAGAAAGAGCTACAGCACCTTTCTTTGTGTTTCAAGTATTTTGTGTTGGGTTATGGTGTCTTGATGAGTATTGGTATTACAGTGTCTTCACTCTGTTCATGTTGGTAGCATTTGAAGCCACTCTAGTGCAGCAGGTAATCTTTTCTCCATCTCCACCACAAGGGGCAAAGAAAGTCAGTTTTATGGCTTGCCATTTGGGCGAGCTGTAGCTAGCATGTACTAGCCCAAAAGTCATTTTAACTAGCCCTAAAAACTTTTTGATGAGCAAGATTGATTACACAGTTCTTCTGTAATTAGAATTTCTCAAAAAACTTCACTTGCTCATTGGGCAAGTTAAGAACAAAATTCACCAGCCCGATAGCAAAATCCACTTTCCCCCGGCTATCGGACACGACGTTCTTTGCACACTACCACTATATGGTGTTAATATTGAACCTATAATTACTTGTGCCCTAAGTAAAGTGGGAGTCACAGCATGCAAAGAAAGTCGTGCCCTGTAGACCGGGGTTCCAGATTTTGAAATTGGGCTTGTGAATTCTGATCTTAACTTGTCCGACAGGCAAGTTTCCCAGGGGACTTCAAATGACAGCTGTACCATAAGATCAAAAGCTGTTTTTTAAGCTGATTGGACAAAGTGAAATTATTACATTTATTTTAACAGTTACTTAATTAATTAACAACTTGTGTAAATTGATCAATAAATGATTACAATAATAATTGTGAGTATAATGAAAGTAAGTGTTCCTTGCAGATTATTCTGTGGAGAAATGGTATAAGTTGTCCCGTAACAGACCTTTTTGCTCTGTAATGTGACCTCCAGGAAATTCTGCGTACAGTAATAAATGTATACATGTACCAATATTCTTTCATTAGTGGGTCATTAGTAGTCTGATCTGATCCTCACTCTTGGACTTGTTCAGTTTGGTTCACCCTTTCTCAAGCACATGACCAGTTGGACTACTACAGGTTTAGTTCTCAGAAATATCTGTCAGTTGTTTGACAAATGGTCTTCCCCTCTTGCTTTCAGCAAATGAAAAATATGAAGGAAATAAGAAACATGGGAAGTAAACCATACTTGATACAGGTCAGTTGCTAATATTAAAAATGATATAAATCATTTTTTTACTACATATTAAAAACTGTTATGTTGTTTAGTAAATGTTGTTAATATGTCAATAATTTTAATTATGTTCAATAGTTCAGGGTTCTCAATAGAAGGCGGCACCCGGCGATTGATCGCCGCTTACTTTGGGATTTATAGCCGCTTACTTTGTGTTTAAGTCGCTTTTCTTTGCTTTGTTTTGACACCCCTGGCTTTGCTGAAGAGCCTCCTACTTTATCAGTGATCACCTCCTACTTAAAAATCTATTGAGAACCCTGTAGTTTATCAAGAATACAACTGAAATTTTCCTCCTTTTTCCAGATTATTAACCAAAATTTGAGACAAAAATGCAGTTGAAGTCCTTTTTACCTGAAATTCTTTGTGCAGATATATCATATACATGTAATTTTATAAGCTATTGATTGGGTTTCAACCTTGTACAGTAATAGTAATACTATTGTTAATTCATAACATTGCTGGGCAGCCTCCATCCTGCAGATACATGTAAGAAATGTCTGTGCAAAATAAGCAAGTATGCCTAATTTTTATATGTTTCTGATGCACATACAACAGGTGTACAGACATAGAAAATGGAGACCAATTTTGAGCTCTGAGCTTCTTCCAGGTGACATTTGCTCTATAGGTAAGATGAAATTAATTTTGTTGATGACCTTTTCTTTTGGGAAGGGGGACAGGAGAGTTTGTTGATATCATTGTGTTTGTGATGGTCTGTTATTTAATTAATGTTATTTAATTAGCTCTGCCATATTTCCTATAACCTCTTTGAAGTGGTTAGAAAGGATGAATGTGAAAAGGTGCATGGCTTTCTCACAGCACAAAGGTGTGATTTTCTGAACTGAGACAAGGTCACAGCTAATTAATATGATCTTACCGTCAGAAAAAAAAACTATCCTGCAAGTAAGTATTAATTAGGGAGAACAATAAAAAAGTGGATAGAGATTTATCCAGTGGGTAGTGCTATCCACCATTTGAACAGCTGCAGGTGCCTGGTTGGTGGACAAGCAGTTGTCTGAACTTGCATCCTCCTCGCAATCTACCCAGTTAGGTAACCAGGCGGGGTTTTTTGCTACTTAGGCCCCAGTTGTTCAAAAGCTGGATAGCACTGTCCACTGGATAAATCATTATCACTGTGGATAAGTATCAAGGAAACCAACTGGGCCTATCCACTAAAATTTAATAGAGATTATCTTGAGGATAGCATTATCCAGCCTCTAAGCAACTGGGGCCTGGTGTTTATATAGTTATCTGTGACACTGCAACTAAATTCTAGGGGGGTAGTATAGCCCAGTTTCTTAAGTAGGAAATGGCTAAATGATTAAAAAGAAATTAGTATAAATACAATGGTACACTGAAATATCACATTTCCACTTTTATAGTAATATGTCGTGATAAGTCTTTTTCTCTGTTTACTTCCAGGGAGATCTAAGACCTCTGATTTGCTTATTCCATGTGATATGGTGTTACTGCGAGGTTCCTGCATTGTAGATGAAGCCATGTTGACTGGAGAATCTGTGCCACAGATGAAGGTAACAAAAATTTGTTTTGAAATGCCAAGCCACTGCAGACCATGAGATACTGTTTGAAATTGCAGTAAGAAGGAAATTTATATACTAGAAGGAAAAAATAAATGTATGGAAATTAAGCAAATACCAACCCACTTTGTCCTATAACATGAAAACTTTTGTGGGCAAACACCTCTCACAAGCGATCATCTTTAAAAATACTTGCCTAGTCTCAGGTCTTCTCATTCAATCTTTGCGGTGATGAATGGGAGATAGACATGACCCAAAATGCATACCGTGTAGGCCACGTGAAAAAATGGGACAGTACAGTATATTCTTAAGGAGGATTCATTTGCAGCATATGCATAATTATTATAACCATCACTTTTGTTCCATGCTAGCAGAGGTCTCTCATTTTTGCCTCGTCATGAGAGACCTCTGCTAGCAGGGAATCACTTTTGCCTATTTGCCATAATTTTGTGTTTCAGCTTAAACCCTTCCACATGTAGTTTAGTGGAATTCAGGGCCACAGTTTTTTTGTGTATGGCAAAATTAAAAAAATTAATTAGTTACACCGTTACATGTATGCTTGTACTACATGACGTAGTGTACATGAAATTAATTCAATTTTTTGTGTGAATGCAACCACTACAGGAACCTATTGAAGATGTACCAGGGGATGAAGTTTTTGATTTGGACCAACACAGTAAATTACATGTGCTTTCTGGTGGGACAAAAGTTGTGCAGCATTCGCCTCCTCTAAAGAGTTCTGCTGGACTTAAAGGTACATAACCTGTCTTTATAGTCTAATCTGACGTTACAAAATTAAGGTTAATGCCCAATGAAATGGTGCAACTTGAACACAATGCACTGTGTTATTTGCAACCTGTATGATATGTTTTATAAGCTTATGACATGCAGTGGAGTTGTACTTATGTACTAATTAAATAATGGCAAGAGTACACTGAAATGTCAGTAACAATTGTTCGAAAAGGTTTCAATGAAAGCTGGTTTCAGGCAGGCTACGACTGCCTATAGGGCTCTTGCTGCCTTCTGTTAAGATTCGTTTAAAAAACAACAACAGCAACAACAACCTTTTCTGTGGTCAATAACTCTTTTTGATGTCCAGAATGCTGGAAATTTTATTGCAAGCTGCTAGATGTGATTTTTTTTGGGGGAGCGTGGCCCTGGACCGACCTAGCAAATCTCCTTAATGGGTCGCAGCCACAGCCTTACTCTACTACCATTGGGAAGTCTAAAGGTCAGTCATTATTGAGTAGTACAAGTATTGAGTAAGTGTTTCTTTTTCAAAGGTCCTGACAACGGTTGTGTGGCTTATGTCTTAAGAACTGGATTCAATACATCTCAGGTCAGGAAGTGAATAAAAGTAACATTTTGGCAAATTCAGCCATATTTGATTACAGAAATACTACCTTAAATCCTTTTTAACCCTGTGGGGCTCATTTATTTCAAGCACATTAGAGGAGGGAGGCTTAATAACTTTCTCGTCCTGAAAAGAGGGGGATTATTGGGAAGGAGGGGCTTAATACTGGGTTTATGGTGTGTGACTGAGATTTCCTTCATTACAGTTTCAAGTAGGAATACACAACTCTGCACTGATTTTTCTGTACATTCTCTTCTTAAGTTTTGTGTGTTCTTTTTCCCTTTTTGTTGTAATTACATTGTATAACATACAGTAGTTCGAGTAAATGTGTAATAAATTGGCATTAAAAAGTTTTTTTGTTACTTTAACAGGGAAAGCTTCTCAGAACAATTTTGTTTGGTGTGAAGCGGGTCACAGCCAATAATCTGGAGACATTTCTCTTCATCCTGTTTTTGCTTGTGTTTGCCATAAGTGCTGCAGCATATGTTTGGATCAAAGGTAAGGGAATTACCACACAGACCGTCTTTCATAGCAACAATTTGTTGAAACATTCTATACATACTTCACGCTCGTGCAAAAACCGGGTTTGTGACTTATCTTCATGAATGTGGAGCTTAGTGTGCAAAGAAAGTCGTGGACCATGGCCCGGGGCTAGTGAATTTTGCTATCAGGATAGTGAATTTTTGTTTTTTATATATTACTTTTTTTTACAATTCAGGTAGTGAAGATCCCAAGAGGAATCGCTATAAGCTATTCTTGGAGTGTACTCTGATATTGACCTCAGTGGTTCCGCCAGAACTTCCCATTGAACTGTCTTTAGCTGTCAACTCATCTCTGATGGCATTGCAGAAACTTGGTAAGGCTAAGTAAATTTAGTCTCCTACGTGGCCGTTTTTAGGGTCGTTGCGTGATGACCCTAAAAACGGCTGCGAAGGAAACTTAAGTAAATTACATTTGTAAGAGTCTATTCCATATTTAAAGTTACATGAAAATGCATTTTTTTTTCTTTTAAGTGCTTTTTTTCTTTGCATGGTGTAGGGTAGTGTCAAGGCCTTGCTAAACTTACTAGCCTGCGTGACAGACACATCCCCCTTCCTCACTCCCTCCCCCCTCCCTTACCGCTTTCAATTCCTGCCACGCAGGCTATAAACTCACAGAAACAATAAGCTGTCTTGCCAGTCAGGGTATCGTGTGTTTGGCAAACAAAGTTTAACCCTTTTTAAATAAGTTAATCAGCTGATAGTCCAAATTTCATCTCTTTTCATTTAATATCAATGCTGTGCTCTAGGAAAAATTGAAGGGAGCCAAGTGCTCTAAACTTGTGAAATCCAGTGTGCCAGCGTATGATTTCTAGGAAAAAGCAAAGATTCTCTAGTTGCCCAAGAACAAAAGTCAGGCGCCACGGGCCAGAGGGCTCTGCTAGAGCACAGCCTTGAATATTACCACCGTTCTGCTTTTCAGTGACCCCAGTCTTTCATAGCTTATTAACTCTTTTATGATTTGTTTTTCTGCAGGGGTGTACTGCACAGAGCCTTTTAGAATTCCGTTTGCTGGTAAAGTTGATGTATGCTGTTTTGACAAGACAGGAACCTTAACAAGTGATGATCTTATAGTCCAAGGTGTAGCTGGCCTCAAGTAAGTATGGTGCTTACAATGTGGATGACTCCTCCTTAAATGTTCTACTATTGGTATCGGATTTAACGGAACTTTTTCGTTAGTTTAATAACTACACAAGAATTCAATAACCACACCAGTAGTTCAATAACCACACGTTAGTTCATTGAGCGTAGATTACATACAGCTGCGGGACAAATAGCCACAAATACGTATAAATGTGTAGCATTAAGGAAGTGGTAATAACTCATTTAGCGATGACACAAAAACTAAATTGAGAAATAGCTATGGTACACTGTCCCCTTTAAATAGACTCAACCGTGAACGGTGCTAAGAATAAAACTCAAGAAATTCGTGCGGAGCTCCATCAGGGTCAAATGTCTGAAGCGGTTTTTGTTTTATTAATGGCAAATTTGTAGAAAGATGGACATGGGTTTATAAAATAATTCGTTAATGGAACCATCTTTTCAATTCTTTTAAAATTATGAGCCTCTTTTTGTTAAAAATGCTTCGCTAAGAGCTGAGAAGGACAGCAATAATCTGCGTGTTGTTATAGTTTTGCTTGTGGATTTTATTATCCTTTTTATTTGCAGAGATGACGATGAAGTGTGTGCAGTTACTGATATTTCCGATGATACTGCGCATGTGCTGGCCTCGTGTCATTCGCTGGCTTTCCTCGATGACAGTTTAGTGGGTGATCCTCTTGAGAAAGCCGTCCTTCAAGCTGTGGACTGGAGACTAACAAGAGGTGAAAACGTTAATCTCCTAATCTTATTCTCGGACTTAAATCCCCCGTCTCACAACCTTTGTATATACAGCTATTTCGAGAAAGGTTGTCGAAAAAAGTGCACGCGACAATCCCGAAAGGTATTGTGGGTGGTTTTGAGTTGATTGTTCTTCAAAGAAATTTGAAAGAATGGCACGAGAGGTCGTGGACACATGTTTGCGAGTGCTCAAGGAACGCAAAAACCTTTCTCGAAAGAGCTGTATAAATTCTGTGGAACTTTGAAGAACCCACACACTGTTCGTAAAGATTTGGGGGCGTAGTCCCCGGTGACGTGGTCTACCTCATATTCACACTCACTTATTTGTAAACTGTTCCATGAGCAGTCTGGCAAAAAAAAATCCCTAACAATGTGCTAAATTATTCCTGAAAAGACTGTGAAGGGAATGAATGATAATATGATGTTTACAATTTTTAACCTCCTTTATTGATAGAGTAGTGAACTCGCTCTTAAAATTCTGTTTCTTTTAAGGTCCTCTATGTTCGGCTGTTGAAATCCTTCTATTCTAGTTCTATACCGTTTATTTACAGATTTTTCTCCTTTGGGTGCATATTTGAAGGAAAGCGCTTAGTTAGTATTTTTAGCCTCAAAGAGGGTAATGATTCAAAGACTGATTCACTTATTTACGTTCTACAGTTGTTGTCGCAGCTAGTTTTCAATTAATTTGCCTTCTTTTGTTTGAATTTCAGGTGATATCGTGATGCCAAACAAAGGAAGGCGTGTCTCGATGCGCATCGTTCATCGACATCACTTCTCGAGTGCGCTCAAAAGAATGTCAGCTATTGTGTCGTTACAGAATCCCGGTTCGTCCACCAATGAATATATTGTAACTGTGAAAGGAGCTCCTGAAACCCTTAGATCAATGGTGAGTGGATTGAGCAAAATATTTTGCATTTTTTCTCTAGTGGTGGCAGTAAATATAGAGAGGAGAAGTCGTTATGTCACGTTACCATCGTAGCAAAATTTCTAGATCTCAAAGAAGCCGTGGTCCTGTAAATATTGCAGAAAAAAAGAACGAAAAAAATGGCTTATATAACTTTCGTGTGTATGAGTGCACTCGGGAACAAAACGGTAGCCCATACTTTTGTTCCATCGTTCGACAATGCAAATGGCCGTCTCTGTCAAGAAAGATTGTCGAGATCCAGAAATTTTGCTACCGTGGTAACTTGACGTCACACTTTCTACTCTATGGACCATATTTAGGTTACGCTTGGGCCTGGGTCGGCGTTGTGGCGAATTGCACTATGGGACTGTTTTGGGGACAAATTTTGACCCAGTTTCCCGCTCAACTTCGTAATTATCCAATGAACAGAAGCGCACTGCGGACTCAACACTGACTTAGTCTCACGAGCAACCTGAAAATGGCCGATTGTAAGGTAAAGGCCCGTTAGTTTGTGCGAGTAAACGACTTGTTTCACCCGGAAAAGTCGTTTTCTTTCGCTATCTTAAAGCATGCAAGTTAATTAGCTATCCTTACTAACGAAACGTTTGTCCCGCTCTGATAAACAATGCTCATTTATATGCTGCCTTACCCTCATATACAGCTGTTAGACGCATTCGTTGTCACAGTATTTCTGACTCTGTTGGCAGATTGAATTTTCTTTTGATATATTTTTGTCGTATGCGTATCTTTTTCAGTATAAAACTGTTCCCAGGAATTACGATACCATATACCACAGAATAACATGCCAAGGATCCAGAGTGTTAGCATTAGGTTACAAGAAGATTGGAGAGGTGCCAGCGAAAGAGGTATAGTAGAATTAAATGCGCATGCCTGACTACCCCCTCTTTTTGATTTAGTTATAGTCGAAGGAAAAGCCAGCCACGTGAACAAGCGTGCAAAAGCCAGTCAGCTTTGGCGTAGCTAGGGTAGTTTGACATAGTTCGGGTCTTTCGTATTTCGCATTTCATTGTGATGAGTATGGATGATATGGTATCCCGTTCAAGCTGCGAGCTGTTTTGACTAAGCAGCGCTTATGATAAAGCACGTTTGCGGGTTCGAGATCATGCATCAGTTTTCCTACTTCTCCGACTCTAAAGCGCCCCATTATCACTGGAATTTCAAAAGCTTGACAAGAAACAAATTAGGCATTTTTACTGCCCTCCAAGAAAAAGTCACACTATCGTGGAAAACAAGCTTTTGCAAGGAAGGCTTCTTTGCAGGCCAGGGTTCAAAGAAAGGCGGTTCCCCGCACCCACCCATCCCTCCCCTGCCCACTTACTTCTTTTAAGCCTTGTCTTTCTCTAAACCCTCTTCTTAATCACATTTAAATACAAGGCACTGGGCGCTAATAGAATTGACTGATCATTAGTTCTAGTGTAGAGCATTGGTCAAGAGTACTCAGTCGTTTTATAGAGTTTTTGTTAATAGTCCTACCTGTCATTTTCCTTATCAGATCCGTGATATGAAGCGTGAAGAGTGTGAGTGTGATCTACAGTTTGCGGGATTCGTGGTAATCGCGTGTCCATTAAAGAGCGATTCTAAAGCAGCTATCAAGCAGATTCAAGAATCATCACATCACGTAAGCATCGGTGCCGCTCAAACAGCAACCTCGTAGTAAAGAGGAAACTGTTAGCCTGTTACTTTTACCGGAAATACATTTTTGAAGAGTATTTCTCTCTTTCTTTCTTTTTTAATGTTTTTTTATTTACACAGCTGACTATGATTACTGGAGATAACCCGCTGACCGCATGTCACGTGGCTCGAGAGCTTCGCCTTACCAGGCGCGAAATTGTGGTACTATCACCTCCTGAAAGCACAAATAATCACGGTAATGTCTTGTACTGTGACTATTCCTAAAGGCATAATGAACCCTTGTTCTCTACTCTTTAAAACAAACACTTGTAACGTGTAGACTAGTGTAGTAAGAAACTGTAGCGAATGGTACTAGGACGTAACTCGGCTGTCTTGAGTTCCTGTAAAAAATTGAAAAATCTTTTGCTAGGGCAATGGCAACCGGGAGTAAACATGTAGTTGATGACTGTAGCACGTTAAAAAATTGTGACTGTCTGGAAAGCATTTGACCTCAGTACTGTAAGCGCGGGAAATAGTTTGATGGACTGCATTCAGCAAGCGCGCGAAAAACACTGTAATCTGTAAGCGCGGTAAAAGCTTGAGACTAACTGAAAGCGCGGGAAACTAGACGGAAAAAATCGCCTTGTGATTGCAGAAATTATGTTAATTCTGTTGTATTTTGTATTAAAGACAAAAGCGTGAATTTTGTTTTCTGAAGAAACCAGCCAGATATCAATAGGTGCGATACTGTCAGTCGTAGAATTATCGTAGTAAAAAGCCAATTTTCACATCGACTAATCTACAAAGCAACAAGAGCATGGTTATAATTTTGTGAGTAATAACTTTTCCCCATTCTCCTTTTTACAGTTGAAAGCGAGTGGCACTGGCAGCCAGTGGATCGCTCATTCAGTCTCCCCATCATCCCTGCTGGTGGTATTAAGGAACTGACTTCCAAATTTGACTTGTGTGTTACTGGAGAGGTAACAAACGTCATTTTGAATGCCTTTGTTTATAATGCAGTTTCAAAATCTGTTGTCTTCTCCTTTGCTTCGCTACACATCATCATTTCATGATATTTTTTAAGAGGAAATACTTTTTGTGGTTTGAGGAAGGTTAGAAAATGCCGCAACACTCGTAGCCTTGCCATCAGTCGCTTAATCATCAGGTAGTAATTTTCGCGCAGCAAATTCTTCTGGCATGTTTTGGAGGCCGAGTTTTGCAATTTGAAAGGGTTCATTTGTACTCTATATTATTCCAATTTTTTTCTTTGTCTGAAGCTTTATGCTAACATTCAGTCCTGCGTTCCTAGCTAGGAATTTCCAGCTAGAAGATATAAGTAATCAGAAGACGTGTGCAGCCATAGCACAAGCAAAGTATACGTTTCGGAACACCGCCCCACAGTTTTGCTGTATGCAACTGCGGCGAACAGTGCATCCTAAAAATATTGGGTGGTTTTATTTTTCTCCATTGCTTAGGCATTTAATGTTGAAGGATAATTATTGACGCCAAGTCTGTTATTTAATTTGCAGGCATTTTCCTACCTACAATCGACTGAGAAATTATCCAAGTTTTTTCACTCCATCATTCAAAACGTTCAGGTTTTCGCACGAGTAGCTCCCAAGCAAAAGGTAAAGTAGATATCTCAAGTTTTTTCCAGAGTTTTGGCTATTAGAGTATTAGACCTTGTAAGTCTGTTTGTAAGTAATTTGGAAATGGCTTTCCGGCCCTTGTTCTTTGTTTTCATAACAGGAACTGGTAATCACCAAACTGAAGAGCAAAGGTTTTGTCACATTAATGTGCGGTGACGGTACAAATGACGTAGGAGCGCTCAAACATGCGCACTGTGGTAAGACTTCATATATGCTTAGTTTTACTGTAAAGGATGGTCCATCGCAGCGTTTCACATAGCAAGTCGTGCTTGTTGGAAAAGTATCAAGGGCTGTCTACTGGATAAATTGCCTTTTCTTTGATTGACTAACTACTTGTTTGATCTCCAAACATAATTGCGTTTTCAGAGTGGACGAGACCTTGCCATACGCCTTTTATGAAAACTCATCAGCTTCTAACCATGTCCTAGGGAGTTAGACTCACACGTCGTGTACCCTGAAACATCGGGAAAACTATGTTCCAGTCTCCCCAAGATTCTAAGTTTTTTCGCAGTCCGTGTTTTACCTGAGGGTGGGGAGGGAGATTGAGTCCCTGGGAAACACAACTCACTGTTTCCTAATCATCTCAGATTCCCTACTCCGATCATTATTGCCTGCTTATTGATCACTTGTCTTTAAAGGGGTACGTCATAATTACGTGGACCAATCAAAATGTTTCTAGTTTGTAAAGGCAATAAGACTAAGCTCTTCATTTTATTGTGGACCAGTTCAGTCTTATAAAGTAACTTAACGCTATCGTTCCCATTACTAGGTGTTGCTTTGCTTGCCGGTGCCCCGGAAAAACTACCCGAGAACAGTAAAAAAAGCAGCCAGAAATCCAAAGATGAAAAATCTTCCACATCGGTGAGACCAACGTAAAACTTTTGCTGACCATGTCATCATGGCCAGTGTTACTTACAACACAAAGTTTGTTTTATCTGCACAAATATAACTTCTGACTGGCTATATTGATCAATGGATAGCACATGTGATCTTGAAATATTAATAGATTTACTTGTTGAAATTAACTTAAGTCCTCATAACTACAAAGAAAGTCTGGTGATTTTTACTTTTTATCGTCGATTTGTGATCAAAAGTGCCTGTCGTCACATGCTATAAAAGAACTTTATGAAAATTATTAAGAGTGATGCGTATGAAGTGTTCAGAGCTACTTAAAATTGTCGAAATTTTAAGGTGGTTTTTCCGTTTATCTTCTACAAAAAATTATATCTTGTACCAGAATGAATAGTTGTCGTTACTGGGTTTTCTTTTCTTTCGCCAGCAGACAGACGACAAGAGTAAGAACGATTCGATCAAAATAGTCTCCAGGGGAAGTATCCCCCCTGCTTCTGGTAAAGGATCCTCACGTGCAGCTAAGATGCGCGCTATGGCCCGGGGGGAGGACACTGCCTCCTCCTTAAAACAAGAACAACAGGTTAGATGATATGATTATTTTTTGCCACGCTAAATGGAACTTAGCCAAAGTTAGAATGAATCTAATGCGGTCCAGCGGAATCAAAAGTACGAGGGAGGTCCAAAGGTGCCATCAGCTTTTGCTTTGTGCTTTTGGTTGCCAGCAGTGCTAAATTTCGTTATAAAGTAATTTTCCTCTATTGTCCAAAACCCGTTTGCGATTGATTTACCTGGTGATTGACTAAAACTTCTCGCGCCACTATCCCATCCAATCACAAGCTGGAGCAGTTGACGCGACTTGTGCACATGCGTTTCCCCGCTTTTGGCAGGGTATATAAATTGGATATCGGAAGACAAATGCCGTGGCTGTGAGAAGGGCCTGGAAATTTTAAAACAGTTATCCATGGAGTCCTTTGCGAAGGCATTAGAGTCTGTTTTCAGGGCAAGCCAAAATATTTGTCAATATTTGTGCGTTTGCGTTCATGTAGCGTTTGCTGGCTTTTTTATTTTTCCTTACAACAAATTTGTTTTTGTAGAAAAAAATCCAAGAGATGTTAAAGCAAATGGATGAAATGGATCAACCTCAAGTTGTTCGGCTGGGAGATGCGTCTATCGCTTCACCCTTTACTTCGAAACTGTCTTCTGTTATGGCAGGTATGTTAACAGACCTCAACTGATAATATTTTGAATTCCTCCTGTCTTCTTTAGGGGCTATTCAAGATCGATCATTCACCTTTAAAAGCTGAAGACTGTCGCCTGCAGAACAGCACGGCCTCTGTGATCGTCAAGTGATCAAGAGACTTAAATTTGATGCACTGCTTCTCGCTCAAACGATTTCGTGAATAACTGTTGTATCTGGTTTTTACTAATTGTGGTCGGGGCGAGCGAAACGAAAAGCGGGAAAGGAACTAAAAACAGACAGAGGGGCGTCCTCTGAACTTTTTTCCCGCGATCGCTTTAACCTTTTGCAGGCTCTGACTAATTAAGAGCCTGAAACATGCTGTACTGATGTAATTCTTGGATTTGTTTGTTTTCAGTCTGTCACATCGTAAAGCAGGGTCGCTGTACCTTGGTCACAACTCTACAAATGTTCAAGATTTTGGCGTTAAACGCCTTGGTGCTCGCCTACAGTCAAAGCGTGCTTTACTTAGATGGAATCAAGTTTAGTGATGGGTTAGTTAAAATTATATCTTCCTTGTTATTTTCCCACTTAACTTTAACATTAGCGTGCTAGTTGGTAGGGCGGATCAGTAAGTCATTTAGTTCTTGCCACTAGACAGATTGATTTCTTAACGTAAGATTTGTCCCTTTAATGAGACAATTGGAAAGGAAACTCCCATTCTTTCGTCTTGTCGTTAAGTTAAAGACAGTTGGATATGTTAACCGTGGAGAGGGGGAAAGTTGGCCAAGGAAAACGGCTAAAGTTAAACAGTTTATATGCAGATCTGGCGCAAGATCGAATGCAGAGATAACACCGTATCTGCTAGTGAGAAAGATTTGCTCAAATTTTGGTTGTAATTAGATGTACTTCTTTTACAGTCAAGCAACCCTTCAAGGCATTCTTTTAGCTGGCTGCTTTTTGTTCATATCAAGGTCCAAGGTAAGACTATACCGCAAGCACAGGCCACCTTTTCTCGATATGTACTTTTGCACATCAGTATACATTGCAGCCTCTGCTCGCAAAGAAACGAACGACCAGTAATGACAATGACAATGACTGTCGTAATGAAAATGACAAAAAAGCTAAAAGTGTTAAGGTGGCCTCATGGCCTTATTCCAATGCTGATACCTGGTTGTGGTGTCAAAAGTCATTGCAAGATTATCTGCAGAAGATTAGATTGAATGTAGAGAAAACTATAAATGTAAAAAAGATATTGCGGTTAAAGAGGAAACTCAGGCTTGCCGGGATTCGAATTCTGATCTGGGATACCGTTGCAGCGCTCTAAACAATTGAGCTTGCAAGCCAACTGGAAGCTGCTCATTAAATTGGCTCGTACTATACCCGGAATTATATGAATTTCATTTATTGGAACCTCAAAATGAAGAAAAAAACTGTTGCAAAAGATTAGCGAGGACTTCAAGGAAGGTCCTTTTGTCCTAAGACCTCAGTTAACATTTGCGATTTGGTTGTGTTTCCTTTTTCAGCCTCTTACGAATCTATCCAAGCGTCGTCCACTACCGAATATATTTAACTTGTATACGATAATAACCGTCCTTTGTCAGTTTGCTGTTCATTTCTGGGCTCTGATTTATATGGTGCGGCAAGCAAAACGACTGACGCCTGGCATGTAAGTACAGGCTTTGTGAATACTTAAGCCCTTACCTGGAATGTATCTAAAAGCACGTTTTGAAACAACAAAACACCCGCTTTACGCCTCGAGTTTTTAAACCTGATAGTACACAACTGCTAGTTTTTTGAACGGCTTCAAAATCTCTGACATAGATCAACTCGTTCTTGCACTAATATTTAGATTTGGGGTTATTTTGGTGAAAAAAAAATTGGACGTTGAAAGTTTAGCCGTGTCTTTATAAGATATAAAGACACTCATAAAACATTAATTTCTTTTGTTTTTCCTTTATGAATTATTAATTAGCTTTTGAAGTCGATTAAGAGCACACAAGTTAGACAGCGGCATGTTAATGTGGTGTCGAAAGCGTTCGTAGCCGAAAACCACTTACTTTCGTCTATTTGCCTTTAGGTGATAACCAAACAGCGAAGGGCATGTGCCTTCTTTCAGATAAATTTGATGTTATTCAAAGTGAATGTATTAGTCTCCCCCCTCTCCCCCTCGCCCCCACACCCGCCACCACCCCCGCCACCACTCCTTACTTGTAAGTACATGTATCACACGTCCTTGCCAAGCAATGTAGAAACATGGCCTAACTGAAACTTGTAACTATGCGGAGTTACAGGATATAAGTTTTGGAAAAAGAAAACCTATGACAAAAATGACGTGTACAGCTTCAGAAATATAATTTTTATGGTAATTTCCTATCGCTCTTATTTGTTTTAGTTATTTTCGGTGTTTCTGTTGCAGGGAAGCCCAACATGTAGACTTAGAAGCTAAGTTTCAGCCCACCATTGTTAACAGTACTGTTTACATTGTATCTATTGCCATGCAACTAGCAACCTTTGCTATTAACTACAAGGTAAGAAACCAAATGTTAAGCGTTTATCGGTTGTAAATTTCTTGATTGCTTCGGTTTTGCAGTGCTCTGTTATCTGCTGGACGGCAAAATCGCGCCCAATTTCTCACCAATCAAAACCTTCTTGTTGGCACTGGTTTCCCATGCTCGGCGCTGGCCTCATGAATATGCTTCAAGGCGTGCTCGAAATAGAAAAATTTTGGAAAGACACTGAACAGTATCCACAGCCCACCTACCCCTCCCCTAAGCCAACATCAATACTTATTTCTCACTTAGGGCAAAATGTTGGCTTAGGGGAGGGGTAGGTGGGCAGTTTCCTAGAAACGCATAATGATCCCAATTGTTTCCGCAGCACCAAGAAATGCCCTTCTTTGCTCAGAGCCTCGAACGGCGAGCGAAAAGTAAAATTATGCAAATCAACAGCCTTGCGCCTTCGTTTGTCGCTGCTTCGCCACTCGACCCATGCGCATGCCCTCTATCTATTGCCTCAAAAAAAGAGTAAGAGACCAGTCGCGGTCAGTGAACACTAGGGGAACTGGATTTGGTTTTGTACCACAGGACCACCCATTTACATGTGATTACCACTAAGTAATTCTACTGTGATTTGTGCACAGGGTCACCCTTTTATGGAGAGTCTGCTGGATAACAAGGCGCTGTTGTACAGCTTGCTAGCCTCTGGTGGATTTGTTGTTTGTATGGTGACGGGTTCTGTTCCTGAAATCAACCAACAGTTTGAAATCGTCACATTTCCCCCAAAGGTAATACCTTTACCTACACGCATGCTTAGTGACTGAACGAATTTGTCTGTAAGGCCAAATGAATTTTATTTTGAGGGCTTCTTTTTTAAATCCTATTCTTCAAAAGTACGTTTTTGATTGTGATTTGCCGCTTCTCTTCAAGATAATTTGTCGCAGCAAGAAGGGGAATTTAAAAAAGCCAGTAAGGAAAGCGAGAAACAAACTGTCTAAACTTGCTACAAGTTGACCTCACGAGTTTCTTAGCAGGGCGAGCTCTTAAGGCCGCGAAGCGGCCGAGCGAGCGGCAAAGTCGTGAGAGGTCGTCTTGTCGCGCTTGAAGGGTTTCCATTTGCGTCCCGGGCCATATTAAATCGTACGAAGGACTTTTTGAAAGTCTACAAACTGTCTCGCGCGGCCCATTAACTTTCACACAATTTCATTCTTGAGTCGGGGTTTTTAAGGGCTGTAATAGGTCTGTGACTTCTTTCACTGGTGATATTGGATGTGTTAATCTGCTAAGAGGTTTCGATTTATCACTAAGTATTTGAGAACTAACTCGTTTTGCTTTCATTTCGTTCTAGTTCCGTGAAATATTCATGCAAGTTCTATTAGCCGATTTTGTAACAGTCTTTGTCATGGACAGAGTATTGGATTTTCTTCTTGGCAGCGCCAAGCTACGACAGCATTAGCAGGATAACAGATATGTGTTCGCGGCCATTAAATAAGGCATTTTTCAGCTGGGAAATTTTGTTTCAACTCAAGTATTGGTTGAAGTTAAGGTCAACGATAAAAAACGCCGACTGTTTCCGAAGGCAACGTAATCATGTCCCCAGATGACTCGAGGATATGTTCGAAGAATAAATATCATCAAGTTGCAGAAATTACTATATTGACTTTTTTCGTAATATCTGCATTGTGTGGAAAATGGTTTTGCGAACATCGTCAAAAGTTGATTTAAGCATAAATTTTTAAAAAATGAAGATTAGAAGTGCAGGAAAGGCCTTGTTTTAACCAGAAAAAAATGCTTGTTGTTTGTTGGAACACAAACATATATCAGTTAATTTTTTTTTTTTTTCAAAACCAAAGCCATAATGTAAAACGTGATTTTCGTTCAACAAGCAAACTCTGGATCACGTATTTAAAATAATACAAAGTGGAGGCACTCAAAAATTCGAGTTTCGCGTGTACAGAATTTGCTCGCCAGATATTCTAAATGCGCTCATCGATACAATTTAATGTAATATAATTATTAAGATTAAGCAACTTCATTAATTCTTCTACTATCAAACTTCCATCACTTTAAGATCTTGGCGAGGTTTTAAAACTTTGATTTCAGAACAGTGTTATTAAATTTATCAGAAAAGTTAGGTCCGTGTGTTGTAGTAAACTCATCGGGCAGGGTCATATTATCTGTGAGATATTTATTTCCTAAAATAACAGTAAGACTACTCGAGGACTTTGAATAAATGATTCATCTCAAATTCTTTCTTGGTGATTTTTTCTTTTCTCTCTTCATCTCTCTGCTAAAAAGAAAGGAAACCTGCAAGAACACTATAGCACCGATCGAGTGTAACAATATTTTCTGGCTTTTGAAGATGAGGTAGCCCTAGGCCCAGAGATTTTTCATGTGCGCTTTCCGTTTTCAGAGGTTTTCTCTATACTTAACTCTTTATGCTTTTGCTCTTTGTGAAATTTATCAAGCATTTGCAGTCGTGTATAAAAAAAATCTCTACAAAATTTTTTTTAAAGTCGTTTTCCGACCTTTTTTGCCTGGTTTACTAGCAACATTGCAGTCTGTCAAACGCGAACATTTTGCGTCATTTTTGGCGATGTCTGAAAGAACAGCTCTTTGACTTCTGGTGATTTGCGTTCCCCTCGTGATGATTTTGTTCAGATACTCATTACCACATCATTAATGTTACAATAATTAGCAAGATGTCGTGACATCATACAAACTTGTGCACTGTTGCAGAACAAAAGTTATAATCTGTTAGAACAAACGGGTTGCTTGGTGACCAAGTAAATTTTATCCTGAAGTAATCCGCGTTGCAAAGAACGTGACTTTTGCAAAACTCTTCCAATTTTTAATTACAATTTCGAAAAGGTGCGTCCGTAGAGGACGTCACTCACGTATTTTACGCTTAGATTACACTTTCCTTTTAAATGAGCAATGCGTTTGTTCCCCTGAAGAACGAAGCGGCTGTTTCTCTGTGACAGAACTCGTTGCTCCTTTCAATGCAACGGCGTGTTTCTTGACTAATCTCTTCCTTGAGAAGTAAACACGAGGATTTGAACACTTCAAAATGGGTGCCATTGTTTCTCATCGAAAAGAAGCTCGAAGAATAACAAGGGTGGAGCAGAAAGCAATGTAAGTTTTATTTCATTTAACACGTATTTGATTGTGTACTCATGTACGTAGTTTGCATGTTTACAAACTACAAAGTGACACACAGTGAGACTGTTATGTATATATTTAAGAACTTCCACAGTGAAGACAGAACATTTCAGTTTCTAACTTTTACCTAATTTGTTCTTATTAAATTCATGACAGAGCGGTCAATGCTTTTTCTACAACCATAAAAACAGATGAACAGTCAAAAGAAGAGGAGAAAGGTACAGGGAAGTCTTTACAGTACTAGGAAAAGCGATCTATGTATAAAATCCCCAACTGTGTTTGCGTAAAACGTGTAAGAGATTAGCCCTGTTTGACAATCCTGGGTTTTCAGGCCAATATGTCAGTTTATGTTTGCGACAATCATGTAAACAACGACTTAAATTGGAGTGTCCAAACTGGATTCTTGTGAATCTATCTATTTATTATCATTCATGTTTCGTTTAAAATAATGACAAATTGATTGATAAATAGAGGCTTCAAATTTTCTTGCAAATTGTCCTGCAATTTTTCCTGGGGTTAATGTCACTATCTGCTCTTTGAAAACCCCATGAAAAGTCACGCAACCTAAATAGGATAGTGTAATAATAAGGGACACAGCCCTGTGGCAGGTAACTAGCCACTACGGGTTATGGCACAAATGAAACAAAGGTGGGGTAGGATGAGCATTTGTAGACAGGCACACAATAGATTAAGATACTTTTAGCCAAGAAAGGCTTCTGTTTATAGCTATAACAATAGAGACTGTTCATTCATAGAATGCATCACAAAATTACTAAAAAACAATCAAGCTTTCATGTCGGGCAGACTTACTCAGCCTACCCCCCTTAGGCCTTCTGTTCCATTATTAACTGCATTAACTATGTGGTAAATGTGTTAAATATACGGTGAGATAAGTGTTTTATTCACATAATTTTGCAGCTGCAACACCTGTCCAGCAGCCAGCACATGAAGGAAGCCCTGCAACAGCTCGGAGCAGAACTCCAAGCATTGCTGTGGCGTCTTGGGGTGAAGGGATTGTCGGCACATCATCACATGCCCTTCATAGTAAGGGTGTGGTATCATCAAGGGGTGTACAGCATGAGGTCAAATCAAGCAAAGACATGTACCCTATGCAGAAGCCCAATACACCTGATCCAAACAAGAACAATGAACTTGATACAAGTTTCGCAAGAGTCTGTCCAATAACACCACAATCAAGGACAGAAAAAGCAGCTGTTACCATTCAAAGGTACACCCTATCTTTGTAATTAAACCCAGTTCACTCAACTTTTAGCGGGTAGCATTTGTGAGTTAACTATTCTCTCTTTAGTGGTGGGTGGTTGGAGCGGATCTGAAGGGAAGTTTTGGGTCACAGAATTTAGTTTTTGGGGGATATGATTAAACTGCAGAAAATTTTTGGAATTAAAATGGCTAATCAATAATGCATTAAATTTTGCTCCTATTCATTCTTATTATAGTTAAATGTCCTGTTAACAAAATCATGCCATCAAATCTCTTGTAGGCCACTAAATGTTATTAATATTCTGGCTTAAATTCTCATTTAAAGACATAATTCCAGTAAGGAAAAGATAGCACTTATCCTACAACATAGAAAAGTTAACGTACAAGTGTAACATTATGATGTTGGTTTAATTAAGTCTAATTCTGTTACAGACATATCAGAGGGTATCAGTCCAGGAAGCATCTTGAACAGCAGCAACAGTCAGCTAAAATTATTCAACGGTATTATTTTGCTTTTCTACATACAGTATCTCAACAATAGAATAATACTTTACTCTCATTTTAATTGATTTAGGGCATTTATAGACAAATAGTTTCAGTTGTAAAGCATAATGAGATTAATTGCAGCAAGCTGAGGATATAGCCCAAAGAATTCCAACTTAAACGAAGCTGGGAATGAGTAGAGATCTAATCGAATTCATCTTCTTTTTGGGGAGAGGGGGGGGGAAGAGTATCAGCCTCAGCACAGGGTGTATCTGGGGAAAAAAAGACTCTCACCTTCATAGTTATAATTCCTTAGAGAATTAATGGGGAGAATTTGTAAAAGAATCAAAGCATTTTCCCTTAGGTGATCATTGATATTGTTATACAGCACACTCTTTCATTGGTTACTTCAAGGTCACATGACAATTCTTACAATGAAACTGTTTCCCGCCAAAATCCCTGAGTAGGCAACATTGCAAAATCTATGATGCCAGAGGGTAATAGTGCACTGTTACCCGTGAATGTTGACCAATGACCATCATTACAGCAAGGATTAATGAATTTTCAGCTTCAAAATTTCCAGCTACATACATGTAACAAATCGCTTATGATTTATTGATTCACATTAATTTTTGTTTCCCTAGCTCAAATCTCAATGTTTCCCCTCGGTGGGGAACCAGTCATTAGGTGTTTATTATTATGAGCAAATTGATGTTTCCTCTTAGGAGTTAAAAATCATTTGAATTGTACACCTGTACATTACAAACGTTACTACATTGTCAGCATTACCTTAATTCTAGGAGATACCGAAAGTACCAGAATACTAAAGAAAACACAGATGACCTTACTCAGCCTTCAGAAACCACAAAGGAAAATGATAATGATGGTGATAGTAGTGAGAATGATGAGGACACAAAAAGAAGACAAGAATACAGAAAGCCTTGGAGAGAATCAACTGTTGCTGCACCTGTTATTGACACAGATGTCAAGATTGGTGAAGATTTTTTTACATAATTCAGGCCGCCAACTTTACCATAATTAAACTTTTTGATATGTTATTATTATAAGTAGCTACTAAAATGGGCGATTCCAGAAAATATCCATACCATACCACGGACGGCTTTTAGGATTTCCGATTGGGAGGCGGGGTTCACGATTATGGAATTCTGAGGGCATGGGGGGTATTTACGATTGGAAATCCGAAGGCATGGGGGAATTCCACAGGTGGGATTTCTGGAGTAGAAAGTGTAGAGTGAGTTCCTTGAAAACGCTGTTGTTGTGGACTTTTGTAGTTCGTAAATAAACCACGAACGTATGACCGCGGAAGCAGAAGACAAGCATCGATAGATCAGACACGTGTTTACGCTCATAACTTATAGAAGTGAACAGTAAAACGTGGGTTTCACATTAACCTTGATGAATGTCTTGTGACATGAAAAAAAAACGGAATATGTATCTTACTGCTCGCAAGTTTCTTGTTACTCCCGTCCGATGAACAGTAAAAAAACTCGCACCAGTCCCTGGCTTCCAAGGAACGCCTGTCAGATTAGAACACTTTTCGAACACTTCGACGGTATATTTGGCCACCGAAAGATTTTAACGGTCTGAATTTGAGCTATTTTGCTTTGTAAAAGTCAAAACAGCACAAGAAAACAAAGAGGAGTAAAATTGCCGTTAGTGGTGTTTATTTTTATTGCCAAATTCGGACCTAAAAAGGAGTTTGCACAGCCTGTCTACTAGCGGTAGGTTAGAGTCTGAAAGCTTGTCGCCTGGCGCCGCTAGATCACAGCCTTGAGGAGGCATAAAGTCATGTTCGTTTGTTCATATAGGCGTTGCTAAGTTGAAAATGTACTTCCAAAAAAACGGAAATTCTGAAGGGGAGGGGGGGTTCACGATTATGGAATTCTGAGGGCATGGGGGGGTAACGCATTTTGGAATTTCCGAAGGCAAGGGGGGGATAAAACATGGAAGCCGTCCGTGGTGGGGTACAGTACTTACCCGCTTATAAGAACCTGTATTTAAGAACCTGTTAGCCTAAAATTCTCAATTTAGACCCCATTTACATAAGAACCTGTTTAGCCTAAAATTTGAAACAGGTTCTTATTTCATGGAAAATGTTTCAGTTATAACTTCTTCTGTCAAAAAAAAACATTTTATTCAGGCACATGGACAGAAGTATATATATACATATCTATTTCATTGGAATATATTAATACATGAACTTTTAGTTTTAGCTTGATACTGAATGTATCTACTAAAATTGGTCATGCCTGTGTCATTAAATTAATATATATTCCACCTTTCTACCATTTACAGATGTATAATATATTTCTCATTATATAAGAACCTATTTAAGACCCTCTGTAGCCTAAAATTCCACTAAACACCATTTACATAAGAACCCGTTTAGGCTAAATCTGAAAAAATAGGTTCTTATAAGCGGGTAAGTACTGTATGGATATTTTCTGGAATTGCCCAATCTGATAAATCTAACTAATCTCCGGGTTGCTATTAGCATGCACTGCACATAAGTGGCCAGCGTTCATTTAGACTTCCACTAAGAATGAATGGAATGCAAAGAACGAAATCTGATCAGGTGCATGTGAACTTTCTATCACTTGTAATCTCATCACACGTGTTTCCACCTTCTATATCGTATGAAACTTATGCAAAGCACGGAGTTGGAGTAACAACATTTTTACCTTTTTTGATCTTGCCTGCACTCCCTACATACAGCTCTTAGGCCAGTGTGGATCGAACAATACTAGATATGGTCATGTTGCATAAAGTGTAGTTATTGTTTGTTTTTAGTTTTTTGGGGTCATAAAGGAGTCATAAGGAGACAAAAGCTAGTGTGGCCTTTGTTTTGAAAACTTAAATTTGTCATTGTACAATTATTGTACAGTGGACAAATTTAGGTTTTCAACTTATTTAACTTTTTACTTTTATTTTAGACTTGCGCACTAAGCAAAATTTGCCATCACCCAATTTCTGTACTCATTTTACAGGTGACAAAACAAAAGAAAGCTTTGATATGTATCAAGAAGATATCACAGACTTGAAATGGAAAACAGAGCAACAGGTACATGCACACTTTTTGAACAGAATGACATCAAGGAATTGTTAGAATCTGATTATATTATCTTAACATTAACCTAGTGAATGTCAGTTGCTGTTCTCCATACATTGTGTTTTCTTGATTTTCAGTTGGAAATGACAACCATGGGAGACAACTATGTTCCTCCTAGAATAGTGGTAGGTCGACATTGGCACACTGTTTCTATCATCATCATGAGATCGACATCGTCATCATTATTATTGTTATTATTACTTAGTTAATTCACACAATTATACCACTTCATAAGAAATTTCTGCAATTTGATTGGCTTAGAGCAGTGGTATTTCAGCTTAATTTGAAATACCTACATGTGAAAATTACAATCCTTTCGCGGGTAGTAGTAGAAGCAAATAATAGCATGATTTGTACGTGATATTTGGCATAAATACCACTTGTGATATTTCAAAATTCTCTCGAATTTAACTCGCCTAACGGCTTGTGAAATTACATATAGCAATTTCGAAATATCACTTGTGGTATTTATGCCAAATATCACTACAAATCATGCTATTACCTATACTAATTATTTAATTCGAATTCTACACCATGCATATTTATTGTGTCAAGAAAACTGAGAATCACTACTTCCTCCTTAGCCTGTGAGAGCAGACGTCTTTTTTGGACAAAATAGGAACCGAAAGAGAGTCTGTCTGCTCTTGCAGGCTACTTCCTTCTGCCGCAAGCATCCCTAGTAAGCTTTGATAGTATAAGTTATGGAGTCACATTTTTTGTAGCATTTTACGTTGTTACACTTAACCACTGCTTTTCTAGAAATTATTGTACAAGTCATGTAACTAATTCTAATTATTATTGAAAATACACGTACACTGTAAGTTAATTACAGTTCATTTTAAAAGGGGAGGGCAATAATGACTAGCTGACTATCATTATTTTGTTACAGTCAAACCAGGTCAAGCGTTCCCGTCGCTAACAAACTAATGAATACATTAATGGAAAAATGATTTCGTTTGTTGATTCAATAATCCATTCATAAAATGAATAATCCAACAGTCAAATTGGACCTCGATTCAATAATCAAATGTTGATTTGGTTTATGAACAAAATCTACCTGTTCTTTATTCTTGTCTATTGTGTTCAATCGTATTTGCTTCCTTTTTCCTACCGTTTACGATTGCGTTTTTCATTGCCTTTAATCAAAATAACAGCTAGAATAGACAGACCGCAAACGCAAAGAAACTATGAGAAACTGACAAAGGCCGAGGATCGAAATCCACCAATCCCCGCACATACACTGACCTTAGTTTGACCGTTGTGTTTTCTAAGAGGTCAGGCCTAGGTCTGTTGCACTGATTACTGGCAGCAAACTGGCGTACATGTAACAGTTTGTTTGGGTTTGAACTTCAGAACTCGCCAGCACTCGACTCTCAGAAAAAAAAGAGGAAAAAACAAAATTCTGAGGTCAACTTGTGGAAAGTGTAGTTTTTCAAAAAACAGTAATCGAATCAACATTCGATTATGGAATCGAGGCTAAATATGACTATTGGATTATTCATTTTATGAATGGATTATTGAATCAACAAACGAAATCATTTTTCCGTGAATGAATTCATTAGTTCGTTAGCGACGGGAACGCTTGACCTGGTTTGACTGTAATTCTTTGTCTGGAACCACATTACAAGGTGGCCATGTTGGGGGTCAATACAGAAAAAATGCTATTAAAAATAGAGTTTAGTTCCCAGAGGAGAGAAATTCTTTTGTTCTTGACCAGCGACATGGCCGCTATGTCATTACGGCAAACCAGCAATACATGATTTGCTCACTGGGCACACTTGTTAGTTGACTTGTGATATTTTCGGGTAATGTCAGTAATGTTGCTTTTTAATAGTAATGGTTAATTATAAAAATGGCAATTAAATTGTTGAAAGGAAATTTTAAATGTTACTATTCAAGGTTATTGCATCAAATGTGCCAAGAGCAGATGTGCTTGAGAAGATTGTCCAAGATGACATCCTCCAGATAACTTATGTAAGTTAATTAAGTAAATAAATTATATATCAATAATAATCTTACAAAGTTAATATAAATTAATATTAATATCATAAATTTACATGTGGATGAGTTGTTTTCCCTCCCAAACATGCATATGGAATAATGATGATGACTGAAGAAGTAAAAAGTGAATCGGCTGATTAATTTGCTTTGAACATAAACAATGTGTTTATTTTTATAGGATTTTGCAACAGCAACACTACCAGATGTTTTAGGTAAGATACCGAACTATAAAAGTAATGTTTATATCTAAGAGCATTATTACACCTGTATGAAACACCTGTATTACACGTACATGTACATTGGATCAATAGACAGAACTGCCAAGTAATGTTCTTTATAATGCATAATTATTTCAACAGATAGAATTGTAGCTATACTTGAAAAGTTTCAAAGCAAGAGTAAGGCAAGATCAATAGCCTTTGTTTGCCAGGTATGGCAATTTGCACACAAATTAAGTAATGGTCCAGATAAGAAGGAAAGGACCAAAACGCAGTTAACACGTCGGAATGCAAAAAGGTGCTAACTTTACTGGTATATATTGTCTCTACTTAAAGGTTTTGATTGGTTTAAACATCAAATTTTAAGAAATCTCCGCAAAACAGCATGTATATTAATCCCTTTTTTTCTATCCCACTTCCTTATAACAAATTCTCGTCTGAGTCTAAGTAACACAGAAATCGTATGTGCAGATCATGTTAAATTGTGAGCATTTCTTGGCCATTGTTTGCAACTCTTGTGATTGGTCGAAATGTTTTAACACAAAAATACACCCTTTAAAAGCGGAGTTTAAATACATTTTTTTTCGTAAACTGCCTTTTTGTAGGTTTATGCATTCTCTGCGTAAAAATGAAAACATTTCTATGCTAGGAAAGCATATTGCGCTACAACAAAAGAAATTGCTTCCCTTCTTACCTGGATCATTACTTAAATAATAACTGTTACAGTTTTAGCTGCACCTGCTCTGAGAGCACTAACTTAATTGGATAGAATCTGAATGGAATTAAAGCTAGTAAAGTTACCATTGCATTTCTACTTTATTGAAGTTTTTTTAAATTTACCGATAAATGTGATAATCACGAAAGATATATCATGTTTTTATGTTCCTTTTCCTAGCTCTCCCAAAGGCAGAAATCTCAAGTCTTTGTAGCTTGCAATGGAATTAGATAAAAAATATTATAAGCTTTTACACATGTATTGGCAGATAAGTTTTTTATAATAATACAGTAATAACAGGAAATAGTTACAAAACATTCTAACTACAATTTGGAAAATCCAACATGTATTCTCCTAACTTGAAAGTAAAAAATAGTTTGTAAACCCTTTACACCTTTAAATTGGTCCTATAAGTCGACCTTATAACTTTTACCGTACATTAAAACATTCACTTTTTCTATAGGGTGGTCCTGGCTTTTTTAATCCTGTCAAAGGAAAGATTGTAACCAAGGCTAAAGTAAAGCAAGATAAGGAGTTAAGCAGGTATTGTAAGTCTCTGCAAGAACCTTATTTCACAGTAGAGGAGTGAATGAGCAAGCAACGGAGGAAGAGGGGGAGGAAAGAAGTATACTCAAGGGGGGGGGGGACACATGATGCAGGCTTCTGGATAACATAATAGTAATTACATGTATTGACATAAAAAAATATGGTGGGATCACTTCAATGGGTAGTCAGAACTACAAATTAATAGTCCCTGGTTAAAGTAGTGGAAAATTAAATTACGGAGGAGGGAGAAGAGATAAGAGAATGGGGAGGTGAATTGTGACGTCATATTACCATGGTAGTAAAATTTCTGGATCACAACTATAGGGAGTTTTTGCAATGACAAAGGCGAACAGCAAAATAAACATAGGTTGAGATAGGCAAAACAACAACTTTGCATGTGCATTATGCTTTTTTTGTACAGTTCTTGGCGATCGTTGCACGACTACAACATGAACCTTCCTAATTTCACGCGCCTGCTTTATGGAGTAAGTGAACACAACAAAAAAATTATCTTTTTCTTTTTCTTAACTTAGATATGGTCGGATTCAACCCAGAAAATTTCCCAACATTTGACTAATTAAATGAAATTAAATAAAATCGATGAAGTTGAAACAGCGGAATCCACTATTAAAGTGACATTTTTTGAAAAAATTTTGCCACCTTGGCAACATGACATAACGACTTCTCCCCTCTATTTCTGGGAATCAGTCAGGAAGGAAACATTGGCCTGGTGAAGGAAGAGATAAAAACTTCCTTACAAGTTGGCAGATCAAAATGAAGCAAAGAACAGAATTCCAGCAGTATTCAGGTTAAGATGGTTTCCACCTAACCCGTAGTTTTCTTAATTTCCCTGATTTGTAAAGGATTGTATGCTTTATCTCTCACAATGTTATGTATTTTTTTATCTGTCATTTGTTGCAGTTTTTGGACTGGGCTGGGTGCCTGTATGACCAAGTTAAATCCGGATGAAACAAAGATCCACATCATTGGTAATAATGTAACTGGCAACAAGAAAGGAGAAAGTTTGTTGACGTTTCTCTCCAAGGCCATGAGGCCATCCAAAGTCAAAGTTGAGTCGCCACTGGAATTAGGGCAAGCAGGTCAGTGACTTTGGTGATGATTGATAGTTCTGTTAAGGATGCCTGTCAACAAAACCCTAAAATTCATATAAACTGCAAAACATGACTGTTATTGACGACAATGTCCTACACTACTTACAAATTATGTACTGAAGAACAAGTTGGCACAAGCAAAATTTTTCAGTTGGCTGTAAAGATACAAAATTGCCAAAAATCGGATAAATAACTTGCCACCTCAAGCATACTGTGCAAGACCATTGGGCTACAAACTTACATTATAACATAGCTAGAAAATTCGCCTAATCAAATTCAATAGCGCGAGCGTGCTTCATATTCCTATTGAGCACGCTGATGACGTCAATAAACTATTCGTAATTCCTCGAGTTGTTGTGAGCTTAGCAATCCTGAGTCTCATGAGTGCATCCATAACTCGGCAGTACACGATAAAACGTTTACCATGTGTTTTATAAGGAAATTTAAGAGGAAACGTTTGAATTTGTTAACCGATAGTAAGGAAAAGAGGTGAGTGCTGTAGTTGTTGTTGTTGTCATCTCCACGAGCTGTGCAGACTATGGCGTGAGATCATTCTTTTGCAAAGTTGTTTTCTCTCAATAACAATTTTTCGGTGAATTAATAGTCTTCCGGCACCTAAATATAGATTTTACAATCATTTTAGAGTTCACTTTCTCTCAGTTTCAGGATAAAAACATAAGCTTAACTGTGAGGAAAAAAATATACTCACGTAAACATTGACGCGTACTGCTTTGAGCGCGCCCTACAATAATAAAATTTTAAGTTAACTGGTGCATTGATCGCTTTGATAATGTTATAAAACAATTAGTTCATGCTGCAGCTGTGCGTATGTCGAGATATTGAGCACTTGGGAAGTTTGGAGAGCACTCAAGAGGCTAGAGTTGCACTCGGCTGCGCCTCGTGCAACTCTTACGCCTCTTTTGTGCTCTCCAAACTTCCCGCGTGCTCAATATCTCGACATACGCACGCTGACGCATGAACTAATTGTTAAATGCAGACTTTTTAAACTTGCGGAGCAATAATGATGTTCACCAGTTCAGAATGGAAGAAAAAATAGTACATGTATACCTTCATTTAAAAAAATTAAAATGCACACATTAAAAGTATTTATTATTTTGTTTCATATTGCTTTAATGTTTGTCTCTATGACTAATAAAAATAATAATAAATAAATAATTATTTACATTCTAGGTCGAGAGATGCTGGCTCTTTATTTTCATCACGATAAGTACAAAATATGGAAAAGCAGGATGCATTCCAAGGTCTCATTCACATTGTGATTTGAAATGGAGATCAGCATGACCATCTTATTGTGTTAAATGTTAATTTTATAATATTTATTATGTTTATCAATATTACACACAGGCATTTTAACTTAGTTAAGAATGAATAAAAGTAGAAGCTCTCAACTTTACCCTTAGCGTCTCACTGCATAGCAGTACATAATTTATTATTTTACTCTTTTGACCTAACATATAATAATAATAATTAGATTCCATTCTCCTAGTGGTCCCTATTGACAAAAACTGTAATTTCTTTTCTAATGACATATATTAAGTAATAACGATGGAGATACAACAGAAACTTGATTCTAACTCACTAAGAAAATTAATCATACGTGCAACTGTACGTCATTCAAGTTTTATGAGCAGTTTGGACTGATACAGCTGTACACATTACAGAACCAAACACAATAAAGCTCTTCATTCCTTATAATTATTTTAATACTGGTTGTAAATATTACAAAAAAGAAAAACAAAAAAACAGAAAAACCAACTTGTAAAAAAGGTGTGATTGACCAAGCATCAGGTCAAGATGGCTGTACACTTAAAATGCAGTAAATATGTTATAAAATATTTTAGTGATTTCAGAATATTTAAATATTATCATTAATTAATTATTAGGAGAAATGTAATTACACCAGGTAACTCACAATTATTGTAATTTCTGTATTAATAATAGTTGATTGATATATTGAAATATTTATTGCTTCTAATTAATTGGGCATTCAAACATTGTTAATGCCTACAACTTCAGGAATCATAGTTATAATCACTAGTATCTTGTAAACAAATTGTGAAGGAATAAACCATCATGCAAATGAAAATGTCCCATACTTCAAGAAAGCTGCTATAGAATGAAAGGTGTGTTAAATTATAATAGTTCCTAGTTTAATCATCTCAAACATATTCTCTGCGGAAATAATAATAATACTAATATTTTCATATTATTAAATCCATCCATAATGACATTAATTTGTTATATTCCAGGTTGGAACGTAAACTAACCTACATAGCCCTTCTCAAGGATGTCTCTTAAATTTTACCTTTTCACTTTGTTTATCTGTTTATTATTGTCTCAATAGTTCTGTCAAATACTGTAAAATTCTGAAAATAAGCCCCCCCCATGTATAAGCCCCTCCAAATATAAGCCCCTCAAACTCGTAACACAAAAAACCCTCCGTTAAAGCGCCCCTCAAAAATGTAAGCCCCCCGCAGGGGCTTTTATGTACTTGGAAATTTCCCTCAAATACAAAGTAAAAAACAAAGCAAAACAGTAAATTTCTTTCGAACTATAAGACTAGCCCAATCGACGTTAAAACGCAACTTTCCCTCTGTGGATAAGTCCCTCCGAACATAAGCCCCTCCAAAAATAAGCCCCTCAAAAAGGGCCTTTGAAAAATGTAAGCCCCAGGGCTTATTTTCGGAATTTTACAGTAAAAACTCAAAGAATTTTTATTTAAGTAGAAATCCTTCCTTGAAAGGATCATCCTTTTCCACAGTGAAGCTGCATTTTCCAGTGTAGTATGCATTACCTGCCACCTCCACATGAACAGCATCAAAATCCCCACATTTGGTTTCCTTAACAGCTTGGCCAGTGAACTTTGATCCAACTAACCCCTGTTCAAACACACGGATCTGATGCAGACCAATCTGTTGACGAGCATACTGCACAGCGATACGAGCTGTTACTCCCGACCCAGTGGGACACCGATCAACCTAGCAAATAAAGTTAATTCATTGAGAAATCTGTGCCATAAAAAATAATCCTTTTTACAAACAAAACATTAATGCAGGTCGTATATTGTATATATCCAAGAAACAGCCGGCCCCTGGACAGAAAAGACAAGACTCAAAATCCTGACTTTGGAGGCTTTTGCAAATGCTTCCGAGATAAAAATGTTAAACACTATATATGTTTCTGCAACCCTTGATGTTCTTCATGTTAGGACCACATACATCTACCACCCTTCAATGCCCTGTAGACTAGGCAGGAGCTAACATTTTATCCTTTGTGTCATTTTATAGTGTATTTGCAAACACTGACAATGTCAAAATCTGCTAATCATGACCCATAAGTAATAACAACATGATCCACATTTGGATTTGTTCCATTTTCAGTAATTTCAGTGTGTAAGTACCCCTGTGTCTAGAAATCATAGAATATTCAGCTGTTGAATGCCCATAACCTTATTGATGTTTGAAAAGACGCTGTTCTTTGACGGTAATGTTGTGGTCATCATATTTATTTTGTTTTTGTTGTAGTTGTTGTTGTTGTTTAATGTTCTGAATCTGGTGTTAACAAAATCTTATTATTAATGATGCTGTTTTTGAGGCAACCCTGGTTTATATGTCAGTAACTTCCTCATTCAGGAGCGAGTCCAGTCCTAGCCTGTGTACAGACCCCCCCCCCCCTCAGGAAAAAGGGAAGGGGTGCCCTTCTAGGACTTTCCCTGGGGGGGGGGGGGGTGTTTACACAGGCTAGTCGAGTCCCCCCCCATTAGCAGTGATATGGATTTAAATACCCCCAATACCCCCCCCCCTTTAACAGAATTTTTAATGACTTACCATGAGAGGAGGGAGTAAGGATATTCTCTGTAACTGCCCCAAGCCTCTGTTTCAAAGCAAGGCTGTGCATGATGCCACTGCAAATGTTTTTTTTATTCTCATGCAAATAAAACTTATTATCATCAGGAGAAAATAGCTTTTGCTTTTAGCCTCATTTTGAAAGTAAGGGTTTTTAATATTAGTTACGTTGAACATATAATGTAGTTAGAATTGAACAGGAATCTGGAGATTTTCTAAAAAAATTCATTGTCACTTCATGTTACATCGCCTTGTAAGCCATATACATCTTCAACATTTCAATGTGATTCATTAATATTTCATGAAAATCATAATTGTTGCCTTTTTATTCTCTTGAAATAACACAAGTAAATGACTCATTAGAATCTTTTCATAGACAGGAAAAATAATTTACTGATAATGACTTGAATTAAATATGGAGATAAGGAAAAAGTGGTTTATGCTCTAACCATAAATGGTACATCTATCAAATTTTATGTACGACACTAACCTTAGATTTTTCTTCTCTAAGTGATTTTTAACAGAATATCACCTGCTTAGACTTAAAATCAAACAAAATATTTTGATTCTACTTTTTCATTGGTTCGACAAAGTGATATTTTCAAGATCAGTTATTTCCTTTTCCTTTCAAAATGTTCACCTGTCAACAAAAGCTTCGATAATCAAATCACTTAGATAAGGTGGGAGTGACTTCCCGCAAAGAAATGAAGCTAAATGGCACAAATTGTTGATTGTACATGTAGGGAACAAAATCACCTGCCTTTTAAACCATTTTCGTTTTCTTCAAATGCGAGATAAAATAAGTAAAAAACTAAGTTTCCTCGTGCAAACACGTTTCCGCTGGTTTTATTGTTTAAAACGTTTTTAAAAACAAACTAAGACGGAATCATCTTGACGAAAATATACAATTTCAATATTCAAATTTCGCCCTCAAAACTCGATGCTCTATTTTTCTCTTTATTTTGATTTTGTTTCGGTTTTCGAAAGTAAACGAGGAAATTATATTTAAATTAGTTCAAGTATCTCGATTCCCAGGAGTAAAAACTTGCGGGCGAGCTGCAAAAGAGCAAACAATTATTCCGCGAAAATTTAAATGTCACGGTGTCCTGACTCCGTATTTTAAACACGAAAATCAGATCACAAAACAAAATAAAATCGTCATAAAAACCACATTTCCTCAATGAAGTTCCCTCTGTGAGAACTTCAGAAAAGAAGTCGAGGGAAAAACTTTAAATTAAAGGATAATCACTCGAATCTTAATAAGTAGGCATACCTGGCTGTCTGCAAAAACACAAACGTTAGCTGTAGATTCTTGTGAGTCTCCATGGTACATATCTCTTCCATCAGTGACGATTGTTCCGTATAGAAACGCTAGGTCTTCGCTGTCAGGGTGGTGAAGCCTAATTTGACTTTTTACGGCGTTGGAAATCACATTTGCAGCGTCTATAACCTCGTTCACAGGGGAAGAACGAACATCGACACCCAACCGATCTTCTGGGACAATGGCGTAAAAAGCTCCCCCAAATCCGATGTCGACTTTTACTTTTCCAAATCTTTCGGTGGTGACCTCCAAATCGATCCCAAACGCAAAGGCTGGGACGGAAATGAAGCGAACACGGCCCGATTTTCCTTCTTCTATATCTACCAAAGCCTTCACCACGCCACAAGGACATTCTATAAACACCGGCACTTCGCCGACACTCGAACGCGAGACATCTGTGCTGAGAAGACCCGAGTCGACAGCGTATCTACCGAGTGCAATGACAGCGTGGCCACACATAGTGCTATAGCCTTCGTTGTGCATGAAAATCACCCCTAGGTCGGCCATTTCACTGTGCGGTTGGACGATCACAGCGCCGTACATATTGTAATGTCCTCGAGGTTCAAACATTGCCAGCTTGCGAATGTGATCAAGGTGTTCGCGAACATAGCGTCTCTTAGCGAGAATCGTGTCTCCTTTAATCTCAGGGTATCCAGAGCAGATTATCCTCAGTGGTTCACCTCCAGTGTGCATTTCAACAGTTGAAATTTCCGCGCCGTTTTCCTCCATCATGCAGAAAATCTAGGAAGTCAAACCTTCACCTTTCTCGACTGTGTTCACTTGTTCGCTTCCGGTAGACCTCGCGTGCGCGCATGGCCGCAAGAAAACAAAGGCGGGAAATAAGACATGGTTGTGAGGGTCGGGGGTGGAGGAAACAATTCAAATGGCGCTATATTGATATGATGGTTATCAACCATATGAAATTTTCTTGAAGAGAAATTGAAAATTTCACTGGCCCTTCTCTGTTTTTGCGAAACAAAGGGAGTGAGCGAGTGTGCACGTTTCTAGGAGTCAGTCTGCTTTCCTCTGGCTCCTTCACTATGAAACCACCCCCACCCTATCCCATGGGGTATTGTTAAAGTAAATCTTTCGTACCCAGAGTCTTCAGGCTTTTTGGTCAAAGGAATCGTGGAAAGTTTGCTTGTGGAATCCGGAATCCACCTTACGATTGGAATCCGGAATCCAGATTCTACTAACAAGGAATCCGAAATCCAAGTTTATACGGACAAGAAATCAGGAATCCAGTACTTGGAATGTGGAACCTGCAGACTGGAATCCAGAATCCAAGACTTTCTTGGATTACCTTACATGGGTTGATCGGGGACACCTTTTACAATAAGAGCTCCCCGTATTTCGATATGTTGGCCTAGGAACCTACGGTATAGCCTGCTAAAACCTTTTCCTGATTACGGGCTCACAAATCAAAGTCTACTTGCTTCCAACAACAAAAGCGTTTATTTGTACTGTAACTTGTAAATAATTGAATAAATACATATATAAAATTTTAATTGCATACAGTAATGGGACACAAAAAAATGCTAAATCACAAAGCTAATCTTGTTGGGTGACCATTATTTATCATTAATCAATGACAATAGACAAAGCAGTCTGACGAATATATGAGTTGGCTCTTGTTGCATTTGAATGAGTGGAAACATCCAAGAAGTGTCAAATTTGTTTGCATTGCTAGTAAGCCAGGTCACACATAAATTGTATCCCTGTAGTAATTCGTGTGCACCCACACTATGCATATCACACAGCATTTAGTGTAGAAATGCGGTTAAGGGCTAAAAATCGACTTGGAGCGACGTCATTTTCCCGGGGGGGGTACTCCCGTTAATGGCTTATATGGGGTGGCTTCGCCCGATAGGGGTACCTTTTTCAGGCTTCCATTATATAAAAGGGGAGGAATATCCCTAGCTGATGAATATAACAGGATAGGGAAATCTGACATTTATCTTCGATCTGTTAAAAGACCCAAAGGGCTAACAGCTGAAAAGATAAAGCTGTTATAAAAAGGTATAAGAAGATGAAAGGGGTGCCTACACAAATACTGAGTCGAGCCACCAAATAAAGAAACACGCTTAAAAACATCACTTCAAGCTCTCTGTTACGTTTTTCGAGCTGTATGTTGCGGATCCAGACCTTCAGATAAGTTGAGGGGGGTGGTCATCCAGATCCTGAGATAGGTGGGGGGTGGTCTCCAAAAACATTTTTTCGGCCCTTCGGGCCTCCGTTTGGTCTCTTGAAATAAGGGGGACCGAGCCCCTCCCCTAGATCCGCCACTGTGTTGCTTGCAACGTCCGGTAGGGTGAAGTACTATCATACTCAGCCTTATTCAATAATTGCTAACTATTATTGGAGAATTTTGGTAAAAACACAATTTTCGGGTTTCCGTCTTGTGGCATCTACAGTATCCTGGTGACGTCAGAAACTAGACCAATCATTCAATGAGATAGCCTTAGTAGCAGGCGGGATCATTATTTGGTGCGAGCAAAGTTTTGGCAGAAGATCTGCGAAGCCGTGCGGAGAATGGGAAGGAGACGCTTTTCTCGCGCCTTAGTGTGAAAACGATTTCGCCAGCTACGCAGGCTATCACTGAGGGTCCACGTACTTCCCAGGGTCGGCCAGGGTTTTTGGGTATACAGTATACTGGGGTATTTTAAATCAGGTATACAGTATTTTCATGCTTAAATTGGGCATAATGTTTCCCTAACGACCAATTTTGGGTATAAAGTATACAGTGTTTTTCTTAATTTTGGTATTTTACACGAGTTTTAGTATAATTTTTGGTATATTGGAAGGTTTATTTCGGGTATTTTGGTATTCCACTACCCTCCGCTGGCCGACCCTGACATCCGGGGGATACCTTTCATGGCGACCCCAACCACTAATCTAGCACGAAAGGTCCCTAACTCTAAAGACATCTTCCGAGTGTATTCCTCCAGCATCGTATAGATATGATCAACTTGGGTACCTGGCTTTATTCCAACCTGCAGAGTTTTGAGATAGTCATATTTACGGAAGAAACCTAGTGAGTTTTTCAAAATTAATTCCAAAATGGTACACTGACCGAGACGACTAAAAAGTTCTTTCTCTCCCTCAGGTACTGGCAGTTGAGATGATATATACTTGTAGTCTTCGAACATCAATGTCAGGCTACCGCAAATTAAACTAAGGTAAATGCTAACAGGTGGGCATTTCTCATACTCCTGAACAATACTTGCAACTGGTCTTAAACCAAAATGGAAAACAGTTTTTAGCCTCGAAGATAGCGATTTCAAACAAGCAAAGGCTCGGAAAACCTCCGTATATCGAATCTTCATTAGAATGTGAAGTTGCTTTTGAAACCACTTTGTTTGTACCTTGCTTAAGATTTCCGAATTCTTGTTCTTTGTAATATATTTCAAATAGGCTTCTTTATGCAAATCAAAGCTCAAAAGGTATCTGTTAAATTCATCCATATGATATGAACACCGTGTAAAGTCTCTCCAAAAGTGTTTTGACCGATCGCCCTCTGGAAGTCCTCGTAAAAATTCATCGATGTTTCTCCGAAGCCGCAGCACGGGAAAATAATGATCGTAATAGTGTTTATGATCAAGATCAGAAACGGAAGAGCAACAAAATGATTCGTTTCCACTCTTTTCATATGACGTGAGAAGCGAAGTAACGAAATGCACCACGTCAGGCCTCAAATCTAATGTAAACTTGTTTGGAAAAGAGCCGAACACAGTGTTAAATATTATACTGTGTTCAGCGTCCTTAGTGGGATCCCGTGTCTTACCTCCACGTTGTTTTAAAAAACGGATTAGTTCTTTCCAAGGATTGTCGAGGCCCAATCTTACCTCCTGTTTGAAAAGCTCTGCCAAATATAGTGGTGTTATCCCATCCAAGTTGGCGCAATCCACATCTAACTGATCCAAATCAGTTTCATTAAATATCACTTTGATAAAGTTCGCTAATCCACGGGAGGCCGCTAAATGATATAAAGTCAGTTCGGCTTTGGTGCAGTCGCATCGTATCTTGTATCCACGAGTTTTTACTGCGTGGCGCAGAAGTTCAATAGCCGCCTGTTCAGCCTCTATCAGGTAACGAATATCGACATCCATCCAAGTAAGTCCATGAAGCTGCCACAATCGCTTCCTTCCTGCATGAAGTACAGCCAGTGTTAAGGCGTCATATCCTTGAGGATTTAAAATAGAATCGTTTGCACCATTTGCAAGAAGATAGCGAATTGCCACTAGATTGACCCCTTGTGCTGCTCTATGTAGCGGGGTAAATCCCTCAGCGTCAAAACAAGTGCTTATTATCAATTGTTTCTCTGGATGACTTTCGATAGCTTTAGCAAGGGGACCCTTTTTAACTGTACAATTTGGGTGAGTGTGCTCACTGCAGTTCTCTGAGAAGAAAAAGTTGTTCTCTTCAAAAGTCGGAGAGATATAACTCAAAAGATGAAACAGAGAATGACTGAAAGGTTTTCCACATTTAATTGGGACCGTCTCAGTACTCATGCACTTCCATCTGGAAGCAGCAGAAGAAAGAAGGAGACAAACAACCATCACATGACCATTTGAATCTTTAGTTGCTCTAAAAGGCTGCGTTTGTTTTGATACGACTAATGGATTTTCCAAGGCCACTTCCAGCGGCGTCTTACCATTTTTGTCTTTCATTTCCACTGTCGCGTTCATGTTAAGAAGGACGTTAACAGTATCAGCAAAACCATAGTGAGCTGCAAGGTGCAAGGGTGTGGTTCCACTGCAGTCCTGATCATCAACACGAGCCCCTTTTCTGATGAGCAATGTTGCCAATTGGTGATGGCCATACCTTGCTGCAAGATGCAGAGGAGTGTAGCCACAGTGACAGACTTCTTGATAGTATTTCGTACGTTCAGGTAAATCAAGTTGCATTTTGTCCAGTTCTTTCCAATGTTTACATTTCTTGTGTATCATCTGTGATTGTTTTTCCAGCAATAAGTTAACAATGATCTTGTCATTATTTCGAACAGCTTCATGAAGTGGAGTTCTCCCTGAATAATCGTGGCAATCTAGTGCGTTATGTTTTTCAGAAAGAAGACGAGTAACAACTTTCTCGTGGCCTGAAGAAACTGCCGCATGAAGGGCAGAATGACAGAAAATCAAATGTTTATCATCAAACAATGTTTTGTTTTCATCTGGCCATGTGTTCTCCCAGAGCGGACAATATTCTTTTTGAGGGGGACTTAAAAACAAAATTCCATTAGTGAGGCGGTGTTTTCCGCCTTCCACCCAGTAAAAAGAGCCATCACATCTCCGACATTTATCTTTCACACCAATGTCCAACAGGTAATTCACTACCTCGAGCCTGTTGTTTGCAGCTGCATGGTGGAGGGCGGTTTGGTCTGCAACTGCGCCTGCCTCATATAGGCTCTTAACGACCTCAAGATGTCCTTTTTCAGCAGCTATCTGGATAGCAGTGAGCTGTGCACCATCCAACAAGGACAGGTTAGTATTGTTCTGAATAAGGAAGCGAATAACGCTTGCACGCCCTCTTTGGGCTGCTGCGTGTAGCATCGAGGAATCAAAATATTTTGACTTGGATTCATCAATAGCATCGGGTATACTCAACAGTTTATAATAATCTATTAATTTAATGTCGACATTCCGCAAGGCTGTTAGAAAGTTGGCTTTATAAAATGAAACCATCGTCTTTGTCTTGTGGTTTATTTTGGCTCCTTTTTTGACCAAGAGAACAAGGTTGTCCACAAACCCTCGTTCGGCTGCCAAAAACGCGGGAGTAATTCCACGGTCATCAACATAATCAATGAAACTAAAATGGCTCAAAAGAAGTTCCAAAGCATCTCTGTTATCTATTGTTGCTGCACTGTGTAGTAGAGTTCTGTTGTTTTGCGGATCTGATGAATTGATTGTCTGTGAAGGCAAACTGAGAAATTCTTGAACATGGGCCTCTTTCGAATCACCGAGCACAATGTGCTGTGCTAAAGCGAGAATGTAGTCTTTAGGCCTATTCTTTTTTCGGTCCCTGACCACACCAAAATAATAATCACAGAATACTTCATGTCCTTTCTCTTTACTCACAAAATATTTCTCGTTCTCTTCACTGGTGAGCCATTCAGTTAGCGACAAGTGATACAGTGTTAGGGTATTGTCCTTCCCAATTTTCAGAAAGTGGCCAAGCTCTCTTAATCGATTCTTGAAATCGTATTCATCTAGGCTGTTCTCTCTTATTTTGAGTATATCAAACATTTGGTTTTGCGTTAACGGCTCAAATGTTGAAACTAATAATTCCAAAATGTGCCGGACAGGCCTGAAGCTTCCTTTTCTAGGATATAGCCTTTCAAAGTAACTGTGGAACAGATCACGCAAAGTCTTTGGCAAGACATATGCGTTCCTTAATTCCTGTACATGTCTTGAGTTCTCCCAATCCTTAAGCAATTCTGTCACAAACAGAAAGTTACCTTGACTTGTGCTTAGTACCTGGGTTGCCAACTTTGTGATACTTTTCACACTGTCATCCCCAAACCACCACGTTATACGTTGCAACAATGGGCCTTCTTGAAAAAGTCTTTTCGTCACGAAGATCTCGAGATCTTTAAGGTTTCTTGAGTCGTCAGGATCAATAGTTATCTTCTTCACTTTACTTGAATGAAGAGAAGCATACGATTCATTTCGCGAAGTCATAACGACTTTTAACCATGGAGGAAACCGATGAACCTTGTTATTGAGCAGAAATACAATGCTGTGGCCTGTTTCACCTTGTGTAAGACATTCATCCAAGGCATCTACAACCACAAACCAATTTTTTCTCGGTTTATTCTTCAGGTTCCTCAAAGGAGACAACACAGCAACTTCGAAACAGCCTACAGGATCCTGGTAATGGATGCAGTCCTCCGTAAGTGAGCGCTGAATGTGAGTAGTGTTGGTAACGATGATACCGTACTCGGGCAGCCTGCGGCCTATCATCTCCGCTAAATTTCGAACGAACTTTCCTGCCATTTGTGTATTTTTGTCAGAATATTTGCAAACGTGGTATCCTAAAATACGCTCATGGATAAATGAGCTTGAGGTCCGCGAACATATTAGCTGGGAGGCAAGTGCGGACTTACCGGAACCAGGACTTCCTATTATCTGCACCCCAGCAATGTTTTCTTCCTCAAATGCATCTTCCACCTCTCTAAACAGCCACTGACGACCGACAAAGTCTTCAGCTCGGTCTGCGTCCAGGTATTCTGACATGTTGAACTCTTTGGTTTCGAATGGCACACTAGAATCTTCTGCTGGACATCCTTCAAACACGAAGAGAAAGTATACACAATATACACAATAAACAACATCCAAAGCCAGGATGGTAATTTCAGAATAACATTATGTAACCTCAAAGAACTGGAAAAAACGACTCTTGCCGATATTTCGTCTTTATTGATACCCTGCGAGCAGGGGCTATATTTTCACTGTGTGAGCTCGCGTGTGAAAAACCGCTCAAATCCGTTCAGAAATCTGGAGGAATAAATTTAAAAAACGGGTTTTTTCCTGTTCTGGACCGGTTTAGAGCATTGCGTGAGTCTTGCGTAGCAGGACGACAGACCTGACGACTAATTTTGCTAGCGAATCGCGTGACAAATTTTGCGCATGCACGATAGAAATTAAAATTGAGCGATTTTCGGCAGAGGATACTTTTCGCACGACAGCTCACACATCGAAAATGTACCCTCTGCTTGGAGGGTACTTTATTGAAATACTTCGTCAGGGCAACTAAGTGGCTAGAGCCGTTACAATATATACACGCTACCTAACATAAGAGGCTCTACGACGTTATTCCAAAATTAAAGAGCGCGCGCTAACCCGGCATTACAAAGAAAAGAATAACTGTATTACAACAAAGTCACGCGTAGAGATATGATGTACGCGTACAGATAGTTGATAGTTGATTATTCATTCAAAATATTTCCTTAATTCTAATTAGCTAAAAGCACACGCATAATTCACCATAACCAGTTACTGATGACCAAATTTGGAAGAATTTTGTGTTTAACTAGGAAATGACGTCAAAAATGCAGCCTTCTACAGGTTAATGCACCGTTAACCGAGAAGGCCTGGGGACGAGATTGAGTTGTTTTCGTTGTAAAAACTAAAATGGCGGACACTTCACTTCCCGGAGGGTGTTATCAACACCCTCCTCGATCTCCATAATTCTTCATAAGATACTCAGCCTCATTCATTAATTGTTAAATATACAATTCAACAACAAGTTTGTGTATAGATTAAGTGTTATTGTAGCTGGTGTAGTCAATGTAGTCAATGTAAGGGATAGGGATCAGGGCTATGATACTTCTGTTCCGTTTTATTTATTTCTAGCACGGTGACCTGTGGAATGCAACCAGTACAAAATGCCACTTGCCGGTACAAACGCTATCTCCTTAACTTTTAGTTAGGTGAATAACTGTATATCCTGAACTTATTGCTTACCGTCTTGGTATGATCTGGGATCAAGAAGAGTGACACTGAAATTACACAGCAAAATGATCATCAACCAAGGAGTAAGCAGCCGCTTTGACATTACTCGAGTGCACTTGATTAGGTTGCTGCAGAAAAATAGCGCGCTATTCTTGACCTGGTTCATATAGGAATATACACTGTCTTTGGTCTCAAGGGTGTCTTTTGTTTTTTCCAACTCCTCCTCAACGATGTTTAGCCGTTGCTCCAACTGCCTTAGAACTGTCAGATTTTGTGTGGAGTCATTCTTAAGGTCTTCGAGCATTTTTTTATACTGGGTGAGAATTTCTGCTTGAAAATTGTTTACGTCTGTGACAGTTTTAAGTGTCTGGATCTCATGTAGGGCTTTCTGGGCGTCCCGATCACGGGCTAAGCTAGGATGCTGAAGCAGTGCTTCCATTGTACCAAAGGCGGTGGCCTTTTCATCATCGGTTAACTCTAGCTTGGTCACGTGCCCCCACTTGTTGTTTCGAATTTCACGCAGATCGTCTATCAAGGGTTGCGGAATAAGCAGGAAGTGTTTACACCAGTACATCAAGTTCAAGATTCCTGTGAGGTCCATATCCTTTGCACTCGTTATCGCGCGACCTCCCACATCAGGGATGAAAAGTTTGGCTATCTCCCAAGGCCCCTGGATTGGATCTGTCCACTTGGTGGAATCACTTTGTTTCCAGATTGGTTTGTTTCTATGGTGACTACCCTCGAGGATTTTGGCCCAGGTGCAGGTGGTCATGTCATGATATTCGTTTGGTTTCCTCCTTGAGACAAAAGTGCACGTACAGGGTCCAGCTCCAGGCAGAGATGCAACTGCTTTCGATACATTATCATAAAACGTCACCGTCTCTCTTGTCACAAATGGGCGAAGACCATCACATAAAACGTTCGTCAAGCCATGGGCGAAAGCAATCCAGTTTATGTACTCTGGTGTAGTGTGGTGTGTCATCTCAAGCGCTGGTGTAGAGGAGCTTGAAATGCCTATTGACCGACAGCAATTCGTCAATTTTTATATAAAAAGAACATTTTGTAAGGTTATCTACACTGATTATATTGCCGCCTGAAAGGTGACAGATACAGTCGAATCTCCATGAGTGACCTAGCCCGTTCCAGGCTCCAAGTAGTAATGTGCAGAAACTCGTGAAAACTGTTTCGAAAAGCGCGGGGGGCTGGGGCGAGAGAAGGCACTTCTTCTTTTTCCGCCACCACCAACTTTTCCAAATCACGCGCGTCTTATTTCCGCTTGGCTTGTCTTCGCGACGTCCTACTATCTGAGAGCCTGGCACAGGCTACGTGTGACCACCTTTCGAAAAAAAGCTACCACCTCCCACGAACAACACCCATGCAAAGTGCCAATGATTGAAGCATTCTAGAAATCTGTCGTGTACAACTACCATTTCACTTTCGTGCCCAGAGTTTCCTGTACGCTTTAGCCCTGGGGTTTTGGAAAGGGACCGTCCAGGAGGCCTCCTTGAGAGTTTGAAGACATACCGTAAATCCCCTAATAAGCCTCCTTCTCAAATAAGCCCCCTCTCCCTCAAATGTGTTTGAAATAAATATGCCCGGGGGGGGTAATAAATAAGCCCTGGGGGCTTAATGGAGGATTTACGGTACGTATTCTTTGGTGTCGTAGCCTTTCGGCGGCAGTTTTTCTTTGTTGTTGTGGTTTTGTCAACTTTTTCCCAGACAATTTGGCGAGTACGAGACAGGAGAAAAAAACCACCTCCTTGTGCTACCGGCCAATAAATCTTCCACGGTTTTCAACTAACCCCCCAAAAAGTTTTAAGTTCTACGAAGAGCGACTCCGAGTTTGTTTTGACGTCATCGTTGGTTATCAACTTTACGCGACTGTAACACAAACGTCTTTTGAAAACGTCTTCTGAAAACGGAGCTTGAATCATGTCTGAAGCCTGTGTTGTTTTCAGTTGCTGTATCGCGGCCGAAGAAAACTTTACAATTAATCAACTTCTAAACAGCAAATCATGACACTATGTAGAACCTACTTCGCGGGAGACAAAAAGAAAGGCAAGCGCTAATGCGTGACGTCAACGAACAATCAAATCGTATATTTTCACCACTGACTGATCATCCCGGTGAAACAATACAAAATAAAAATACATCGTTAGCGAGTTTTAGTTCTATCGTTGCTCACCCTGAGCTACGGTAGAACTAAAACTCGCTAAAATCGCGCTGAAACGGCCAGACATGCTATGAAAATACCGCACACAAGACAAGCAGACAAGGTAGGAAGTTTTGATGTATTTTTATTTCTATTTGAACGCCCTAAATAACGATCGATAAATTTTCCATACAAACTCTTATAATATTTCTGTTCCGCAACTCACTCGTGAGCCTGGGGTACCTGTGTTGTTCCGCCTGTGTTTTCGAACGTTCATGATCAGTGACCGTGACATTGATCTGTTCCTGATAACCGAACTTTCGAAAGTATTCAGTATAGCTACTTTCTTTACAAGTGCCCTGATATGTATTTAAACTTCTTTTTAAGCAATGGCTTCAGTTTCTGAATACTTTCCATACGTTTATGGTAATTAACGATAGGCGCCTTGCCTGTTTGTTGAACGTATGAAAGTGGCATGCACAAAATAACATAGCCTTGTTACTGAAAAATATCCCGTGAAATTTAAATAGCTTTTCCTTTCATGGGAGATCCAATCCGGCTGCATAAAAATCGAATCGTACGTGCAGACGGCCTCTTAATGTCACTTCTTACGCTGCTATACGTGAAAATAAATCCATCTCAGTTTTGTTGTGACCATCATATCTTTACAGCTTAGTATAAACTACGAATGCGATCGTGGTGACTGAACGCACCTAGTGTCCATTGATCCTGAATTCGATTATTGGGAATACCAGTCTATATTAACCTAAACAGTTTCCTGGCTGGATTTTTGGAGAATGTCAGGTGGAAAGTGTCAAACCGCTGAACAATCAAACTTTCATAGAGACCACACAGAATTGATGCATTTTGCTGACACAATATGCAACGAAGCACTTTTAAGATAAACATGGGGATTAAATACATACCGTTCTGAAAAAAAGTTCCTAAGTGATCTTTTTAGGTCCTTCTGCAAATTTGAGTTGACTTTTCACGGACTGCCTCTATCGAAAAAGCCTGGATCAGTTCAGAGCCACCTATTAAACATTGTAAAACTTTACAGAGAAAGTGAAATAAAAAACTGAAGTATTATGCAAATTTGAAACACACCCGGGGCAAATTGATGAGGGGTAACGAATTCAAAAGGATCAGCAACCGCGACAGTGGCGATAGTGACATGCAGGTAGCGCGCGGCAACTCTGATTGGTTCGCTCAGTGAATTTGTATTTCAATGGTTGCAAAATTGTGCATGGCTCGTGCGAGAGTGAAAGCTAGGTTTACTCTTCTCTATAAACAGGCTATCAGTCGTGGATATGTGGTTGATATGGACGTTTTTCAGCTGGAGTTTGTTAAAGAAGGAATTATCGGTCTTAATTGAAACGTAGTAGACATCTGAGCTAAGCTAAGTTATCCCTTAGGCATGCAAATGCCTATAGTATTCCACTTTCAAATCTATTGCCTACTGACCTGAGGCATGTATGAGTGCCTAGTCTCCCAGTGGTTAAGCAAAAATGTCTAGATATTTTTGATGACGTTTGTTAAAACCCGGAAGATGACTCCCATGTGTGACGGGCGCAACTTCTTTCCCAGGCTCTCTCTCGCTTCCTCCCTTGTCGTCGAGTTGAGAGACCCTGGTCCGACCTGATCATGTGACCTCCTTTCCAATTTAAAACTGCAAGGGCCGGGTCTGTCCTCGACCACAATTTGTCGACGGGATAACTACACACTATCTAGGGGAGAGTGAAATTGCCGAGTGGTGTTTTCAAGATGGCCCCTTTCTTAGCTGTGATCAGACGGGGATCCGTTCGTCCATGTTGTGGCAGTTGTGTCGCTAAGTCGATATCTCAATTCATCTTTTAAATATTTGGCTTATGTTACTTTTAAAGGGGGTTTGGCTGCTCTAGACTTTGTAACGGAGAACGAAGCTAAGCTTTTTTAGCCTACACACTGTGTGGACACTCTCCCCGCACGGCATCTACAGTTCCGATCATGGCCCATTAGTAATCAGATATCGGATTTTGTCTTCTTAGGGATGTTTTGAAAAGGAACAGTTCTCTGTTCTAACTAACTGAGAGCCTGGAACAAACAAGTGTCACCAATGCAGTAAATTCAGACTATCTTGCTTTATAGCAATAGTCACCAGCCCGATCATACCAGTTTATTTTTAACTATATAAGTCTTAGATCTCTCCCTTCTGCAGTGGCTCCTGCTGGTATTGCATATAATAATAATTATAATTATAATAGTTATAATTATAAGAAATGTGAAATGATGTGATCAACATGTCACGAGCATGGGACAAAGAAAAAAATCAGAGGCCTGGACGGGACTTCTGAATCTGGGTCGGATGCCCTAGCCACTGAGCTGCTGATCCTAGTACTATACAGGACGGCATGTCATACATGAACTTTGTACATTGCCCAGCTCGCCACGAGTCATTCGCAGCTCAGTGGTTAGAGAATCCGACCGGTGTACGGAAAGTCATAGGTTCAATTCCCGTCCGAATTTTTTCTTTGTCCCGTGCTCGTGACATGTTGATCACATAATTTCTCAATAATAATAATAATAATAATAATAATAATAATAATAATAATAATAATAATAATAGAAATAAAATCTTTATTACAAAACCTCAATTAAAATCCTATTTACAATCAACCTGCTATTACAAAAGATCTAATTAATTCATCAAAACACTGTCTACAATTCCTTCATTAGAGATAAAAAACAATCCTATATGTAATAAGTGAAGAAAGAAAAAAAACTATTCATTTACAAATTCTAAAAAATAGAAGTAACTTAACCTTACATAAAAGAAGAGGAAATAGATATAATCAATAATAAAAGTTCGAAATTCTATAAAATTAAGAATTCCATTATGCAGAGATATTAAGATCGTACTATCGAATTATCGAATTAATAATAATAATAATAATAATAATAAATAATAATAATAATAATAATAATAATAAAAAGCGGATGAGAGGGGGTGATTCGAAAAATGGCCCCTCTTTTGCTCTTTCTTCTTCCGCCCATCGTCACTCACACGCGGGGTTTTAGCCTCTCCCCAACCTCCTAGTGGCACAAAAGAGGGTTCTGGTGAGGAGAGAAGTGTTAAATGTATCCCAGGCCAAGAATGGATTGGGTAACAGCCAGTTAGGTATCGATACTGAGCCTCTCGTAAACTGATAATCTCTCGAGTTCTACGGTCTAAGGTGGAGCGTGCATTTTCACGGAAATGATCGATATCTAACTGGCCTTTGCCAAACCCTCTTAGGATTTCTACATCTCAAACCACATCTAAAAAGAAGAACTTAATTACGAAACTACGAACGCGACGGCAACGAGAACGCCAAAAAAGCAATCGATACACTTGCGTCACGTTTTTCTATCAATTTCTTTACCATCCCAATGACAAACTTTTCAGTTCTTTTGAGAATGTAAACGGCAGGACGACCAATTTTGCCGTATCTTAGTGAGCTTGGACCATGTCCATTCTCTTCAGCTTTAACTTGTATAATTTCCCAACTCTCAAAAGATAAAACAAGTCGGAAAATAATCGCGATTACGTTCGATAGGACGCAAAGTCGCCCTCAATTTCTCAGATCGTACAAGCCCGAGCCGTTAAGGTTCCTACAATTAACACAGCGCATTTTCTTATTTATTTTGTAATTGCTATGTCGCCGTTGATATACGTGTCTTGGTCAAAAGCCACTAGTCTGAATATAAACATAACAAATTGCCTCCTTAGGGTTCACAACTTTTCTCAGGATTATTAAAAAATAATAATAATATTTAATACTTCTAGAGCGAATTTTAACATAGGTATATGAACAAATGCGCATACCCAAAAATTATTGTTTTCCCTTTGTCATAAATGACCGATCAGTCACATGCAGGTCTTCTGCAACTGTGTCAGAGGGATGCTACCTGTCTCCAAATACCTTGTGTCATGATCAGCTAGTACCAGAGCAAAACTTTACCACGTTCTACAAGATTTCTAATGTTATCAGGGTAAAGGTGGACATAGGTGCGTGGCTCTATCCCTATGTGTAGTGTCTTGAGATAATCATAACGACGATAGAAACCAAGGGAACGTTTCAGGAAAAATTCCTGTGGCCACTCGATGATGAACCTTCCAGGATGACGAGAATATTTGGATATTTTCATTCGCTCCCCGACAAAATCAGGTCGGCTGAAAAGTTCGTATTCTCTTAATCTGTATTCAGAAGGTTGTTGATTTCTTTCCCGGTAAGATGAATAAGACTGGAAAATAAATCGTAGATTTTGACAAATTAAGTTAAGGTAATTATCAGGACCGCTTTTCTCATATTCACGAATATAATGTCTTGTCACGTCATCATTCAAACGAAAAAGTGGCTTAAATCTGTCAAATAACGATTTTGCGCATGGAAACATTCGGAAGACTTCCGTGTGACGCATCTTCATCAAATCGAGAAGTTCTTTTTGAAACCAGTTTCGTTGTGTCTTACTTAAGATTTCCCAATTCCCGCTTTTGGCGACTTTTTTCGGGTACATCTGTCTGTGCAGATCAATTCTTGAGAGGTATCGATAAAATTGATCCACATGCAATAAACACCGTCTCAAGTCCCTGCGAAAGGATTCTTCTTCTCGAGAACACTGTGTTTTGCGCCCTCTTCGAGAAGTCGACCGATGTTCTTCTAGATGTCTCAACTCAGATACTGCTGAGCTGTTGACCTTTTCCCACAACTCTCTTATGGGCCAATAAAAGAGTTCCGAATTAACGTCAAGATAAGGGGCAAAGGAGCAGTGAAATGGTCTCTTCTCCCTTATTTGGAAAGATTTTAATAGCGACGTAATTAAATGAAAGATGTCAGGTCTCAAATCTAATGTAAACTCGTCTGGAATCCAGCCGTACACGCTGTTATAAATTATACTGTATTCAGCCATCTTTTTAGGATATCGCATCTTGCCCCCGTGTCGTTTGATTATCTGAATGACTTGTTCCCAAGGAATTCCTTGCCCTTCAAGCTCTTCATTCTGTTTAAAGAGCTTTGCTAGATACATTGGTGTTATCCCATCTGTATTAGCACAGTCCACATCTAGCTGGTGCAAATCACGTTCGCTGAATATCACCTCAATAAACTTCAGTAGACCACGAGAAGCTGCTAAATGATATAAAGTCAGCTCTGCTTTGCTGGAGTCGCATCGTATCTTGTATCCACGACTTTTTACCGCGTGGCGCAGAAGCTCAATAGCCGCTTCCTCGGCCTTTAGCCGATGATGAAAATCTGCATCCACCCAAACAAGTTTATTGCGCTCCCACAATCGTTTTCTCCCTGCATGAAGAACAGCCAGTGTCAGAGCGTCGTGTCCATATGGACTCAAAGTAGAGTCATTTACACCAATTGCAAGGAGATAGCGAATTGCCGCTAGATTGGCTCCTTGTGCTGCTCTATGCAGCGCGGTAAATCCCTCAGCGTCAAAACAGGAGTTAATTATTCGTTCTTTTTCAAGGTGACTTTCAACAGCTACAGCAAGGGGACCCTTTTTAACTGTACACAGTGGGTCAGTGGATTCACTGCACTTCTGTAAGTAGAAAAAGCCTTCGTCTTCAGAAAATGGACGGCTATAACTTAATAGATGAAGCAAGGAATAATTGAAAGGCTTTCCGCACTCAATGGCAACAGGCTCAGTAATTTTGTCGCTGAAAAGTATACCTGAAAATTCGCCGCTGTTGTGAAGGCACGTAATAAGGGGTGTTCGTCCAAGACTGTCTTCACAAGTTAAATTGGCGCCCTTTAGAAGCAAAAGCTGGGCAATGTGAAACTGTTTCTTTACGATTGCGGTGTGAAGCATGCTTCCCCTTGAACTTGTGCACTTCCCACTCGAGGCACCATGAGATAGGAGGAGAAAAATGACCATTACGTGACCATGTAAAAGTTCGCGCAAGTCTTCCATCTTAGTTGCCCGAAAAGAAGGGAATTGTTCTGATTCGACTGGTGCATTCTCAAAGGCGACCTCCAGTGGTGTCTTGCCATTTTTGTCCTTCATTTCCATGGACGCATTCATTTGGAGAAGGACGTTTACAGCATCAGCTAAACCATAGTGTGCTGCAATGTGCAGTGGCGTCTGACCGTCAACATCAACGACATCAATGTTGGAACCCCCATGCAATAACTTAACAAGGGTATCTAACCAATGTAAATCATCTACACTCGTATACTGATTATCATAAACAAAAAATCTAGGCAAATGACCTTTTCTGGGAGCCATTAGGTCAACAAAACTTGTAAATGTGAAGTTATGAATTGAGTAGTGTGGCGCTTTCAGGTTATAATTATCAACTGCTGTAAGGCTTGCCTTTTTGTAAAGCAAATAATCAATTATCCCGACCACTCCACAAGCTGCAGCGCTATGAAGAGGGGTAGATCCATTTGATGTTTTGACATTGATGTTTCCCCCGATTAAGTTGGCACGATTAGGACAAGCAGCCACATGAATCGGAGTTGCTCCAGTACAGTCCCGGTCGTCAAGCTGAGCACCTTTTCTGATGAGCAATATTGCCGCTTCCAGGTGGCCATACAGTGCTGCAAGGTGGAGAGGAGTATAACCACAATGACAGACGTCTGCATTGTATTCAGCTAATTCCTCAAAACTAAGCAGCGTCTGGTTGACTTCTTGCCACTGTTTACACTTGTATTTTACCATCTGAGGATGTTTATCTAGCAAAATATTGACAATTATTGAGTCATTTTTTCGAACGGCTTCATGAAGTGGAGTTCTCCCCGTATAGTCATAACAATTCAGAGCATTATGTTTTTCAGAAAGAAGACGAGTAACAACCTTGTCGTGGCCTGAAAGAACTGCTGCATGAAGTGCAGAATGGCAGAAAATTAAATGACTGTCGTCGTACAATTTCTTTGTTTCATCTGGCCATTTTTTCTCATAATCAATGCAAATCTTGGTAACATTATTATCCATAATCCATATATGGGAACAATTATCCTTGAAAGGAGGCCTAAGAACGATTGTAGTGCTTGGGAACCGCTCTTTTGAGTTCAACCAGTAAAAAAAGCCGTCACATCTCAGACATTCATCTTTGACACTAATTTCCAACAGGAAATTAACTACATCCATTCTGTTATTTGCAGCAGCATGATGGAGTGCTGTTTGATTAGCAACTGCACCTGCCTCATACAGCGTTTTGACAACATTAAGATGTCCATTTTCAGCCGCTGTTTGCATGGCAGTCAGATGCACACCATTCAAGATAGAAATGCGAGCATTTTTCTCAATAAGGAAACGAACAACTCTTTCATGCCCTCCTTTGGCAGCAGCGTGAAGCATTGAGGCGCCAAAGAATTTCGACTTGGTTTGGTAGACAGGCATGTCTATTCTTTGATACCTCACTGACAAATATGAATCATTGTTGGCTTCTTTTAGGGTGGTTAAGTCTCTAAGTATCTTGGCTTTATAGAATGCAACCATCCCCTTTGTTTTTCGGTTAACTTTGGCTCCCTTGCCGATCAACAAAGCAACATTGTCTACGAGTCCGTGTTCTGCAGCCAGAAAAGCAGGTGTAATTCCACGGTTATCAACACAATCAATGCAAGTAAAATGCGTCAAGAGAAGCTCTAATGCATCTCTGTTGTCCATTGTCGCTGCAAGATGAAGTAGAGTTCCTTTGCTTTGGGGATCTGATGAATTGACTATCTGTGAAGGAAGACTGAGAAATTCTTGCACATAAGCCTCTTTCCGACCACCTAAGGCAATATGTTGCGCTAACTTGAGAATGTATTTCGACAGCTTGCTTTTTTTCCCTTTTCTAATCAGATTCAAATAGAAATCGCAGAATGTTTTGTGTCCTTTCTTTTTACTCACAAAATATTTCTCGTTCTCTTCACTGGTCAGCCACTCAGTTAGCGACAAGTGATACAGTGTTACTGTATTGTCCTTTCCGTATTTCAGAAAGTGACCAAGCTCTTTTAATCTATTCTTGAAATCGTATTCTTCATCTAGGTTACTCTCTCTCGTTTTAAGTAATTCAAGGATCTGTTTTTGTGTCAGTGGATCAAATGTCGAGACTAGCAGCTCAAAAACATGCCGGGCATACTTGAAGCTCCCTTTTCTCGGAAATAGCCTCTCGAAGTAACTTTGGTACAGATCTCCCAGAGTCTTGGGCAAGACAAAAGCGTTACTTAAGTTGGGTCTTGAAAGTTCCCAATAGTCAAGCAACTCCTTGACGAAAAGAAAATTTCCTTGACTTATATTCAGTACATCTCTTGCCAATTTCGCGATAAGTTTCACTCTATCATCTCTTTTCGTCACGTATCGTCACGTAGATCTCGAGATCTTTAAGGTTTCTCGAGTCTTCAGGGTCAATAGTTATCTTCTTCACTTTACTTGAATGCAGAGAAGCATCAGATTCATTTCGCGAAGTCATAACGACCTTTAACCATGGCGGAAACCGGTGAATTTTGTTGTTCAGCAGATAGACAATGCTGTGGCCTGTTTCACCTTGTATAAGACATTCATCCAAGGCATCTACAACCACAAACCAATTTTCTCTCGGTTTATTCTTTAGGTTCCTCAAAGGAGACAAAACAGCAAGTTCGAAACAACCTACAGGATAATGGATGCAGTCTTCCGTAAGTGAGCGCTGAATGTAAGTATGGTTGGTAACGATGTAACCGTATTCTGGCAGCCTGCGGCCTATCATCTCCGCTAAATTTCGAACGAACTTTCCTGCCATTTGTGTGTTTTTGTCAGAATATTTACAAAAGTGGTATCCTAAAATACGAGTATAGATAAATGAGCTGGAGGTCCGCGAACATATTAGCTGGGAGGCAAGAGCGGATTTACCGGAACCAGGACTTCCTATTATCTGCACCCCAGCAATGTTTTCTTCCTCAAATGCATCTTCCACCTCTCTATACAGCCACTGACGACCGATAAAGTCCTCAGCTCGTGCAGCATCCAGGTATTCTGACATGTTGAACTCTTTGGTTTCGAATGGCACATTAGAATCTTCTGCTGGACATCCTTCAAACACGACGAGAAAGTAATAAATACGAATATACACAATTCAAAAACAAGTAAGTTTGTATGTAGGTTAAGGTTTACTGTAGCTGGTGTAGTCAGTGTAGTCAATGTAAGGAGTGTAGTTAGTGTAATCAGTGTAGTCAGTGTAGTTATTGTAGTAACTGTAGTCAGTATAGTCGATGTATCGATGTAGTTAGTGTAGTCAGTGAAGTTATCGTTGTCAGTGTAGTTGCTGGTGCCAGTCAGTGTAGTCCGTGTAGTTAGTGTAGTCATTGTAGTCAGTGTAGTTTTTGTATTCAGTGTAGTCAGTGTAGTCAGTCTACTTCCCCTCGAAAAACAACCTTTTGGATAGGGATCAGGGCTTGGATACTTCTGGTCCTTTTTATTTATTTGTAGCACGGTAACCTGTATTCTGACCTGTGGAATGTAACCTGAACAAATTCGCCTGACGGTACAAACGCCATCTCCTTAACTTTTAGTTAGGTGAATAACTATATCCTTATTGCTTACCGTCTTCGTACGATCTGGGATCAAGAAGGGTGACACTCAAATGACACAGCAAAATGATCATCAACCATGGAGTAAGCAACCGCTTCGTCATTACTCGAGTACACCTGATAAGAGTGCCGCAGAAAAACATAGCGCCATTCTTGACATGGTTCGTAAAGAAATTGTCTTTGGTCTTAGTAGTGTCTTCTGTATTTTCTAACTTCTCTTCAACGGTTTTTAACCGTTCCTCCAATTGTTGTAGATCTTCCCGGTTTTGTGTAGAATCAATTTTCAGTTGTAAGCTATCTTTTTCAATCATTTCTTTAAACTGTAGGAGAGTTTGTGCTAGAAAATTGTCTACATCGGTCTCAGTTTTTAGTATCTGGATCTCATGTAGGGCTTTCTGGACGTCCCGATCATGGGCTAACTTAGGATCCTGAAGCAGTGCCTCCATTGCACCAAAGGCGGTGGCCTTTTCAACATCGGTTAACTCTAGCTTGGTTGCGTGCCCAAGCGTAAGGTTTCGAACATCACGGAGATCTTTAATCAAGGCTTGAGAAATGGGAAGAAAGTGATCACACCAGTACATTAGGTTCAAGATCCCCGTGACGTCCATATCCTCTGCACTCGTTATCACGCGACCTCCCACATTAGGGATGAAAAGTTTGACCATCTCCCAAGGCCCCTGGATTGGATCCGTCCACTTGGTGGAATCACTTTGTTTCCAGTTTGGTTCTTTCCTATGGTGATGGCCTTGGAGGATATTAGCCCAGGCACAGGTGCTCGTGTCATGATGCTCGTTTGGTCTCCTCCTTCGGACGAAAGTGCAGGTGCATGGGGGTCCAGCTCCGGCTACTACCGATACATTATTATAAAACTTCACCGTCTCTTTAGCCACAAATGGGCGCAGACCATCGCAAAAAACGTCCATCAAGCCATGGGCGAAACAAATCCAGTTTCTGAACTCCGGTGTAGTGGGTTGTGTCATCTTAAGTGCGGATGCAGAGGAACTGGAAAACCCTATTAAAAACATTAAAAGGTTTTATAACTTCATAAAGTGCGCCTGCCAATTTACAGTAATAGTGTTAAACCACCTCTCACAACCAACACACATCCAAAATACCAAAGATCCTTTCCCCAGTCATTCCCGGTCAGAGTTTCTCGCGGACTCTCATTATTTCAAAGAATTTTTTTAATAATTTTTTTATTTAAATCACACTGTTAAAGTTACAAAGAGGTACATAGCTACATACTAAGGAATTGAAAAAAATTGAAAAAAAAAAACACGACAAACAAATTAGGGACGAGACGCATGTAACTTACAATTGACATTGACTATGTAACTACATAGAGTTAAATCAATCACAATTTTTCTCGGACTGGTATTTAAATTCTATTTGTTTGGCAAAGTCGGAGAGATCTTATGAAGTTTACAGGAGTAAATTTAAAATCTCATAAATAACAGATTGTAGTTTAATTTTGCTGTAAGTCGGCTATTGTTGCGTAGCTGTCGGTATTATATGGGTGCGAGATTGAAGTTTTAGCGGCGGAGCCCTGTTCTAAAAAAAGGGAGTAGGGACGAGGCCGTTGAAATACCGCGGTATTTCTCGCGGCTTCGCCGCTTGTGACGGCTCCGCCGTCAAATCTCACGTAGCCTATGCCAGGCTCTCAGATAGTATAGTGGTTAAAACGAGCAAAGCGAAAATAAGACAGGCACGACCCTCCCCAGCCCCCGCGCGTTTTTCGCATTTCTTATTACTGAACGACTTTCCACCACCATCTCGGAGCCTGGAACAGGCTAAATCTCGCTCGACTATAGTACAATGGCTCCGCCGCCAAATCTCACTCGACTACTACACAAAACCGCCAGTTACGCGGGCTAAGTTTTCGACAAATTAATCAATGGTCGCTGAATTTTAATAGGCTCTGTGTCTGCAAGCAACGGAAAGGTTGTTTGCAGAAATGTTTGTTTTAAGCGGTTAACAAGATTCCAAGTGAAAAAAAAAGGTTTGATAGGCCTACAAGACTCTTACCAGGATCGGTTGGTTCTTTTTAACGTGCATATGTATGATGAATTTCATGTGCCGGATATGCTCATTGTGTTGTTGTACATGTGAAGCAAAGTCTGTGCACAGGCTACCCAAACTCACGTTGCGAGGGAAGGGTGTAATGTAATTTACATACCATAGCTGACGCGCCGGTGTCGCGTTACCACACATGTCCAATGAATATTCCTCGTTCCATAACACAACCACGCAAAACAAGTTCGCTTTTACACCAATAAAAACGCGCTAATAATTATTATGAATATTCCTCGTTCTATAAGCCAACCATGCAAAACAAGTTCGCTTTTACACCAAGTAAAAACGCGCTAATAATTATTATGAATATTCCTCGTTCTATAAGCCAACCACGCAAAACAAGTTCGCTGGTACACCAAGTAAAAACGCGCTAATAATTCTTATGAATATTCCTCGTTCTATAGGCTAACCACGCAAAACAAGTTCGCTTTCACACAAAGTAGAAACGTGCTAATAGTTACAAAGCGAGGGCGACCTATATATCTAGCGCTAATAATATCTCAAGGTGCTGCGAGTATAACAAACATTGTACGAACATTAAAATTGAAAGGTAACGCCTCACTGTCGTGTTCGTTCTGTTTATTGTGATTCACGAGCAAACAACAACATGACATATGAATGTCTTCTTTCCTGTACGCAAGCACTATTTTTTGGTAATTCTTACTTGTTAAAAGAACCCGAAACAACGCGGAAAGGCGCGAAACTACCAAAGTGGTATTGAGGCAACAGGTTTTGACAACTGTACTCAACTCACTGTGAAATTAACTTCTGAAATTTCTCAGCGCAATTTCATTATCTACATGGAAGCGTTTAAACCAAAACAAGTTTTCAATGAAGAGTTTCCGAAAAGGGTGGTTATATCGTGCTGTTGGTTATGACTTTGTGTTGTATTTGGTGGCTACTAAGAAAGCCGTTTTATATTCAAGTGAGTGAAGTCACTTTTGACTGTTGACGTGGGACCACATCTGAAAATAATCTAAGTCTCCTTAATGAGATGCATATTCACCAATAGAACCATTGGAATAGGGTGCTTTTCCATTGGTACCAATCGTACCATTGGTACCAATGGACCATTGGAATTGCCCTGTACCCAGCCAGACCACATGAGAAAATAATCTAAGTCCCCTTAATGAGATGCATATTCACCAATAGAACTATTGGAATATGGTGCTTTTCTATTAGTACCAATCGTACCATTGGCACCAATGGACCATTGGAATTGCCCTGTACCCAGCTAGACCACATGAGAAAATAATCTAAGTCCCCTTAATGAGATGCATATTCACCAATAGAACCATTGGAATAGGATGCTTTTCTATTGCTACCAATCGTACCATTGGTACCAATGGAGACCCTTCTTATTACCACTAACACCAATGGAGTCTATTTGTGAGTATTGGACAACCCTCTGCACGGCATTCTCGTTGCGACTGGTCCAGGACCCCGACAGATCGAACTGACCAGCCTTCACTTCGTTCTATGAAAGGAGTAACAGTGGTTACGCAATAAAGCCAAAATACATTGGAAATACAGTGGAATACATTGCAGCTAAGTCTTTTTAGTATAGTATAGTACATTATTATATACATACTGAGAAATACTCACCAAAAAGCTATGTCGTAAATTTTCGTACGCAAATTAGTTCTAGCCAATCAGAGGAGCGAACGATGGTTTTCACACGTGAAAAAAATGGTACGTCCAATCAGAATCGCGAACGATGTTTTTTCACGTGTGAGAAAAATGATACGTCCAATCAGAAGCCACAGAGGTGTGTGAGTTTCGCGCCAAAATTCCCGCCTTTTATTGTTGTCTCGTTGTTTCGTTGTCTCGTTGTTTTTGTATCAGAAATCTTACTCGTTCGCTGCGCTCACTCGTTCGATTTCTGATACGTCAACAACTCGTGCGTAAATACCGTACGCCAGCACTTTCCATGAAGTATTCTCTATTTATGTATAGCTTCTTTTCTCGTTCAGCAAAACCAGCTTGTGGCTTCAAACAACTTCATAACAAGCGACCGAGGTAATACTTTTTCTCCGTTGTTCTTACTTTTATAACTGCACCGAAAATCCAAATTCACAGTAATTTCGACGGCTGTCACTTAAAAATTCTTTTCCTTCACATTATCTGCCAGGTTTTTTTAGCTGTTCTGCTGTGTAAAATCCTAAAATGCCGATGAGTTTTTAAAAAACTAATGTTCATCGCTACAATGTTTGACATGTTTTGATTTTTCATTCATGCAGTCCAGGCGAGTCCGTTCGCGCGTTGACAGTTTTGATAGACGTGTGACATGTGAATAGCGGAAGTCCCTTGTCTTTTCCGGTTTGTTCTAGTATTTTGTGGGCGTTTTTAATAAAACAATTATTCCACTCGCGCTTGTTGGATATGAGATGATTATAGCCAACTCGGCGCTACGCGCCTCGTTGGCTATCTATCATCTCATATCCAACGCGCCCTCGTGGAATAATTGTTAAATATCCTACGAAAGCCGAAATTAATAATCAGTTGCTTTATTATTCCTTCAAAATAATTCCTAGTTTTAAAACAAGCTAAAACATGTCGATGTTAAGTTCACCTCGATAGTGCATGTTTAGAAGATAAAGGGCTGTTCAGGTCTGCGAATATACTCCAAATAGCAGATGTTGTCCATTGAGTTGTCTTCTTGCTATGTTTTGAGACAGAAGTTCGTCGTGAAACGAGTAAAATGTTCCGCCGACTTTTTGGCCATTTTTCTTTTCACAACCAAAACAACTCAACCTCACCCCCAGGTCGGTTAATATGGCATCAACAGGCAACTGTGCTGCACTTTTGACCTCATCGGTTGATTAATTTGAAGAAATTGCGCATGATGTGAAATGACGTAAGCCATCGAATGAAGAAAACGTAGTACGGTCATCCTACTGGTTGTTTTTATTCAAGCTGCGGTGAGTTAGACGCATTTGAAACTTTATTACTAATTCGTTTTGGAAAGAAAACTGTTGGTACCTTTCTGAGGCATCGGCTGCAACTGTTATGATCTCTTGTATTTGCATAGACATTATCGTATGGAAAGCAGATTTTTGAAATATGGTCAGGAAACGAGCAGCGGCCTTTCAAGTTTGAAACAACCAAGAACGTTGGAAGTTCAGGACTTGTACGGTAAAAAATAACTTTTTTGTAAACATGGATTGATGGTAGTCGACTCAGGCACGTACGGCCAGCTGTGGTACCACGGTTTGAAACGTGCGGAAAGAGAGTCAAAAAACAAAGTTTCACCCACCGTTAACTGTTTTTTTTTCTGCTTTATCAACGCAGGCTTTGTCGGGTTATTTATTTGAAGTTTTCTTCGGACCGAGTCCGGGCAGTTCCCTTTTCGGCGCTGACTCTCTTTCCAGGTCTGTTCACTGTGCCCCTGATGAGAATGACAGACCTTCTGAGCAGACTAAAATTTTCAAATTAACTTCAATTAGTGAGCTCACTAGAACTTAATAACAGTGAAACATGGCTATTTATCTATTTAGTTCTCATACCATAGCTAAATGAGTATTTACCACTTACTTAATTCTATACATTCTTATTAAAAATAACTAATTACGTATTTGTGGCTATTTTTCTCGCAGCTACATGTAGTTTACGCTCGATGAGCTAATGTGTGGTCATTGAACTACTGGTCTGGTTATTGATCTGTTGTGTATTTATTGAACTGCTGTGTGGTTATTGAACTAACAAAAAGGAAAACTAACAACGGTACAGGTTGTACAACTCCATCGACCTTCACAAAAAAACAAAATTGTGTCAAAAAATCTACAGTGATGGCAGGGCTGCCTGAAAGGTTACAGCTACATTCAAATATCACTGAGTGTTAACGTTTCCATGTCAGTGGTAAGAATTCAAAGCGACCACCTGTCACCCTCTAACATTACCCATCCAGACATACTAACCAGAGATTAATTATTGATTTATATCGCTTTCAAGT